TTACAATCTCTTCTCTAGTCTTGTCTTGGGATTTGGGGCATGCACACAACACATACCCAGTGTGTTTTTCAAGCCATCAGGTCTGGGACTCAGACCATTCACTTGGCCTTGTGAGATCCAGTGCCTTCACTGCTGTGCCACCTGCTGGCCCCTTCCAGGAATCCTATGGACTTTGTTTAGCCAGACTTTCAAAGTGATGGGAACAAAGCCCTTGGGCGAAACCTAACGTGCTGTTTTTGTAAATCATTGTATTGGGATATGACCAAGCCTGTTTGTTTTGTGGTCTCTGGCTGTAATGGTGGAATTCCACGGAGACCATATGGCTTGCAAAGCCTGAAGCATTTTCTACCTGGCCATTTCTAGAAAAAGTTTGTCAATCCCTGGTCCAGAGCACCAAAAAATCTTAACATTTCTTTCTTTCTTTCTTTTGAGACACACACAGATCCCCTAACAGGGTCATGGTGCTGTGATCCTCCCCCAGTCTCAGTCAGCCTCAGATCATAGGCTGAATACTTAGGGAGGTCTCCAGAAGCAAACCTGGAAACTTCCCATGTGGGTCAGCCTTGCAGAACTTCATGTTTTACTGCTGTCACTGTCCAGTCCCGAATTTTCTATTTCACTTCAAGTTGGTTCGGCTTAGCAACATTAGGAAAGTTCTCTCTCCTCCCCCTCCCCTCCCCTCCCCTCCCCTCCCCTTCCCTTTCTTTTCCCCTTTCCTTCCACTTTCCCCTTCCCTCCTCTTTCCTTCCCAACTCCTCTTCCCTTCCTTTTCTTTTCCCTTTTTCTTCCCTTATCTTTCTTTTCCCCTCCTCTTCCCTTATCTTCCCTTTCACGTCCCCCTTCCCTTTCCTTCTTTTCCTCCTCTTTGCTTCCCCTTCCTCCTCCCCTTTCCATTCTCCTTCCCCTTCCTTTCTCCTTTCTTCCTTTTCGTCTTCCTCCTTCCCTTTTCTCCCCCCCCACTTTCTTTCTCTAACAATTGTTTAGGGAAGGAAAAATTGGGGATGAGGGGTGAAACAAAGGTATATATATTTTTTTATATCAAAGTTGGTGGAGCATTCCCAATGAAAATACCTTTATGTCTACCACTCATATTTTATTAATCTAAACAATGTGCCATTTTTAAAAAAGAAATAAGACATTCCAGATATAAGCAAAGGCTTACCTGTAACCGCCTGCCCCCCCCCCCCCATGGCATTTCCCTCCTTCCTGAAAGGTAAATGTTCTCTTAAACTTGGTATGCATTCTTCTAGTCTATGTTCTTTTATAAATTTTTGCTACATATATGTGTATACCCATATGTCCCCGGAGAACATAATTATGTTTTAAAATTTCTGCTTCCTCTACCTTTCAAACTTTAAGAAAATCTAACAATGGCATTTAAAGAACTCTTGGGAAGGGGGAAGCACCCAAGATCTTGTGACTCTAATAGCAACATTTTTATATGTTGGTCTTAATCATGTCATAGAATTCTTTTATAGAGTGGCAATCAGAATATGCACACTGCTATGTTGTCTTTCTCCTCTATTTTTTTTTTTCAGTTTCCATCTTGCTAATTGTCAATTCTAGGGGTTATGGGACATAACGATCTTTAAAAGTTTATTTATTCCATGAGTGGGAGAGACAAAGAGACAGAGACAAAGAAATACAGCATCCTCCCCCTGCCTCTGTTATAATGCCATGATCCACCTCAGTATCAACCAGGCTGGATCAAGGGTACATGCATGCCTAACGTGCTGAAGGGAGGTCTTGGGACATGAACCAGCAACCTTCCCATCTGGGTCAACCTTATAGAGCACCACAATTCACTTCTGTGCCACCATCTGGTCCCTCTAGGTTATAACTATTGGAGCAGAATTTCCAATAAACTATTTAAAACTCCTCTGGCAGACAGAAAAGCTCTCAATGGTGTTCACCTTCAGGCAGAGTGATGGTACGGGGGTTACTTTTACTTTCAATGCATAACTTCTATTTGTTTTAAAACTACACAGGTAACTTACTTTATCTTAGTTACAATTTTTATCTCATTTCAAAAGCAAATGAAAAATACATTTTTGGTTAAAAAAGACCCCACCCTTTGCAGAAGATATTTTAGAGAGGAGGTGCCTTACTTTTCAATATTGTTATGAGGATTTAAATAATGCATGTATCTGATAGCCCTCAGTAAACTACAATTACCTGGATATGAGGGGGAAAAACCAAAAATAAACCCCTAGAAAAGCAATAAAAGTTTGGGCAGCCAGGAGAACCAAGGACTAATGTCAGGGCACTCAGGCTAAAGTGAGTTTGCTTGGGTGGAATCACCCACGTGCACTGAGCTGAGGTATCCCCAGGCGCTCCCATTGGCCTTTGGGTTCCAAGGGCAGAATTCACACTTAAAGTTAGGAATGACTCATGGGAGGAAGAATTTGTCCTGGGTTGTTTCAGTTCACCAGGGAGGTTTTCTTAGAATTCTTTATCTGTACTATTAGGTGGAAACAGACATTTCTGTTAGCCTAACACTTCCCAGCAGTCCTTATGGATCTCGTGTATAGCATTATCTTAGGAGTTATTTGTGACTGATGACAACAAGGCAAATATTAATGAGGGTATCACAGTCTACTCTGGCATGTTGTCATAAAGCATTAAAAATTAACTACTCTGGAAATAAATTAGTCAAGGGCGTTTTTTAAGGCAGTAGCAACCTTGGACTCTTTTTTTTTTCTTCTCCCTGACTCATTTATGCTTATTTGTTAATTCACCAAATCAGAAGTGTGTGCTCTTGGGACCAGCAGGTGGCATGGTGGTTAAGGCGCTGGACACTCCCACATGGCTGACCACGGTTCAAGTACTGGACCTGGCAGTTTGCTTTCTCACTTTTCCTCTCTCTCTCTCTCTCTCTGTCTCATCCTGGTCAAATTAAAACAAAATGAATGAATAAATAAAAATAAATAAAAATAATTCTTTAAGAAAAGTGTGTGCACTTACCAGCATTCCACTGTAATCGAAGAGTAAGGCCCCTTTAATTTAGGTAACTATGTAACCGCATGAGAGGGGAGGAACCAGCATTATGAATATTTATCAACATTTCTAGTGGTCCAGTAGGCAGAGTCTGGAAAGAGCAACCATTTACCTATAGGGAGAGTAAAGTAAGGGACTCTTTTTTCTTCTTGAGTCACTGCAGAGGGTAAGATGGACCCAGTCCCAGACTTGGAGGGAATGCTTTCTTCAGCTGTAGGTCTTTTCCACATGCATCAAAATCCCGCCGGGGATGCTGTTTCTCTGTCTCTATCTGTCACTCTTGCTTATGGAAGAAATAAATAAGTAAACTTTAACAACAACAAAAGATGAACTCCATCTGGGCCAGCAGGTGGCACAGAGAGTAAAGTGTTGGATCCTACATGGCCAACTGTGCGGTTGGAGTCCTGGACCCAGTGGCTTGAAAATCATGCCAGGCATGTACGTGTGTGCCCGAAATCCTGAGAGGAGAATGGAGGAGAAGGCACTGTGGCAGGGCTATCCCCTTTAGGGGGTGATTTCTCACTTCCCCTTTCTCTCTCTCTTTCACTCTGCTATGGTTTGGGGGTGGGGTTTCTCAGTCATGAACTCTCTAGTAATAAGACTTTGGGGACAGGATAAACCTACATATTCTGAGGTATAAATTATGGATAATAGCTTAGAGCAACAGTCTACAAGTGGGTTGAGAGGAATCTCAAAGTGTTAGTAGTTGTTCCTTTGCAAAAACAGTTCCACAGTTAAATGAGTTTGTAAAGTATTGTGCACCGTGTCCCCATCACAGACATTCACAGTACATGATCTGTATTACAGGCTCCAAGAAGCTGTCTTAACTTTGTTTAATCCAGCATTTTATAGACCTCTTTGACTACACATTTCTTTGTTTTTCTAAGCTTTTTAAAAATTATTTTATTTTATTTATTCATAATTTATTTTAATTTGATGAGAGAGATAGAGAGAGAGAGAAAGAAAGTGAGAAAGCAAGCCACCAGGTCCGGGACTGGAACCATGGTTGGTCATGTGAGAGTGTTTAGTGCCTTAACCACCACACTACCTGCTGGATCCCAACTATGTATTTCTTTTTCTCATGGATACCTGCCATCTATTATCTTTGTCAAGCCCTAAACAAGAGCCAGGGAGAAAGATTATCTTTGAAAAATCATATTTATTCAGGAATAGGCACTGCAATGCCCAATACACTGGCCATAGTAAACTGCTGCTACATGCGGGGAGGTACGGGAAGTAAGAGGTTTTCGACAGAAACAGGAGGAAGGATTACAGAAGTTGTTTGGGGACAAGTACCCTTGGCTAAGAGGACCAATAATGAGGCGTCTGGACAGGTGTCCTTGTAGAGGTTCCAGCCCATGTGCAGGTTACAGTGGTCTTTGCACACAGGTGTGGTGTGGCAGAATCCTTGTGATAGTTCTCACTATCAGGTATTCTAGAATGGGAGCTGCCCTCTGCATGGCCTTCCCCAGCTTGATTCAGTCAGGGTTTAACATAAGTAGACACAAGTGACTCCATTTTGATTCTGACAACATTTTCTTTAAATTGCCAAAGAGTTCGTGAACTTTCCAGAGAGAGATAGGGTAGGGAGGGAGGAAGAAAACCTGCCCTCCAAGTGGGGCAGGGTCATAACATAATCTCCATTTCTCCATGTCCGGTTTTAGGCATGTACAATACATGCACCTGATGTGGTTTTTAAGCCACTGAGACCAGAAGATGAAATGAGGTTGGCCGTGTGGCATTTGGCTTTCCGTTCATCGCACTGAGTCTCGGCACTGCAGCACTGACCTGTGATTCTCAAGCCACAGGGTCTGAGATTCAAACCGCACAGTTGGCCATATGGGCTCTGGCTCCCTTAACCACGAGGCTATGGATTGACTGAGATGCTGACAACTTTTACATCTGGAATAAAGCTAGTTTGAAAACTCAGGAGTAGAGAGAACATGAACCCTGAGGCCAGCTGGCCTCGCTCACTCCTAACTCTGCCTCTCCTCTCCTTGCAGGCAGATATCTTCTCTGGGGCCATATTCATCAATCTAGCCTTGGGCCTGAATCTATACCTGGCCATCTTTATCTTATTAGCCATCACTGCCCTTTATACAATCACAGGTGAGTCCATTTGAATGACCAGCAGCTCAAACCTAGCTCAGGGTTAGGCACTTGTGAAGGATAAAAAGAAGTAAGGGACATGGTTTTTCCTCTCCACCCAGGAAACAGTTGGAGATGGGGTGTTTGCGTGGTCCTCACTCACAGACCCTGCGAGTCATACAAGTGACCTCAGAAAGCTCTAGTGCTGGTTGGAGTCACCAGGAGGTGGGGTAGAGCTTGTCTCTTCAGGTGGTGGAGATGGTTCGTCTACACTGGGAGAATCAGGCAGTGCCAGGTGCAGGAATAAGTGACAGCAGGGAACGGAGGGAGGAATGGGCACGGCATGGGGTGGAAGCAGGGTGAACAGGCAGATGTGCCCAGCGGGGATGTGCCCAGCAGGAGGCGGCTTGTTGTGGGCCATAAGGCTTGATAGTTCAAATAAGGTCACAGTACAGGAGCCTTGATGCCAGACAGAGACCTTGGATTTGATGTGACAGGGACTGGGAGCCACGGTAGGGAGGAAGGGAGGAAGGAAGGGAGAGACACACATAAAGAGGTTTTAGGCTCAAGAGGTGGCTGGAGTAGCTGGCGGATGAATAATTGGGGGACTCCTCTGTAGAGGTGCTACTTTGCCTAGTCGAGGTGGGGGAGGATCAGCCGCAAGATGTGAAGCCCAGCTGGAGCCCCACAGCTTTGGAGAACAAGATACCACTTAGATGTCTGAGAAAAGAAACAGCGGTCATAGAAGTGACCCTTAGGAAGTGCCGATGTGATAACATCCTCAGACACGTCCATGGTAGTTCTCAGCTCTTCCTCGCCCTCTTAGTGGAATGTGCTTCCTCCGACCTTAGAGGAACCATCTTCTGGCTTAAAAGAGTCCCATCAGGCTCTTCCCCTTCAGCTGAGGAGAAACGTTCTCCTTTCTCTGCTTTGCAAGCATGTGTATGAAAAGTGGAGGTGTGAGGATAGGCTGAATAGCGGAATATTGCACAGGACTGGGGAGGGAAGGAAGGAAAGGCAGGTGGGCAACTAAGGGGAGTTCTCCGAACATGTGCAAAAGGTGGACAGTGGAGGGCGGGGAAAAGAAGCAGGCAGATGGGTCACCCTCCACATGAAGTCAGATGCGCGGTCTTCTTGCCTGCCTAGGGGGCCTGGCGGCTGTGATCTACACGGACACCTTGCAGACGGCGATCATGCTGGTGGGCTCTATCATCCTGACTGGGTTTGGTAAGTGGGCTGGGCAGGCTGAGGAAGTGGGAACAGAGAGAGAGCAACTGCACCCCAAGAAGAGAAAAGCAATTTGGCCTCTACCTGTTAGCTCAGGTAGTGAGCTGACCACACTCTGCCCTCCCCATGGGAGTGGCCCAACCCAGACTGGCCATTAGTGTGGGTACACAGGGGCAGCTTCACCATCCCTGAGGAATCAGGTTGGGGTGGCTCAGAGAACACTTGGACTTCCTACTGCCTTCTCTTGGTAGTCTGGCCGGTATGGGCTTGTGATAACTTGGTGCTCTGTCTGCAGAGAATCCGGACAGAGAATGATATGGCTCAACACCCAAACTAAAGCTATTCCAGTGTTGTGCCTTCCATTTTAGATTATGTCTTATTTACATTTTGATGTTAAGTGTCTTTTTTTCTTCATAAGTTGTTGACAGGAGGTGGTTACTTTCCTTTGATGGCCCTCATGAGGCAAAATTCCAAAATCGGTTACTCATTGGTCCTCCCAATGTTTTGAAAAATTTACTTTTCCTAGAAATCCTAAAGACAAGATTGGGAACCCCAGGTATAGGGGTATTGTTACGGGAATGTATACATTGCATTCTATGTTTTAGATGCATGAGATACTCTGTGTGTCCCGCTATTGTTCTGTTGCCCAAGAACTTGTCTTTGGTTTTGACCTATTCAAGGACACACAGCTGAGAGGTGGCAGGATTTCAGACTCCTCCCCCATTCTCTGTCCCACTGCGCTGCTGGGTGGTGGGTCTGTGTCTGGGTTCCCAAAGGTCACTGTGTTTCTCTAGGTCTGAGTATCTCTAGGCGTAGGATTTCATACTCCTTCCCCATTCTCTGTCCCACTGCGCTACTGGGACTATGGGTGGTGGGTCTGTGTCTGGGTTCCCAAAGGTCACTGTGTTTCTCTAGGTCTGAGTATCTCTAGGCGTGGGCCCAGATCTGGAAGCCATGGCTGATAGCAGGGTGTGAAAGAAAAAACAAGGTCTTCGTGTGTGGTCCCAAACTGAGATCTTCCCTTTAGTAATTAAAGTACCTGCCCTTTTGGAAGGAAGTTTATAGCTGGAGCGCTTTTACAAGTCCTCATAGTAGCCCCTGAGGAGGCTGGGAAGACTCAACAATCCCATTCTATGGTTGAGAAAGTTGAGACCCAGGTTGGAAAGGTGACTGGTTTGAGATCACGCAGTGAGGGTTCTGCCATAAATAGGAACCACTGTGAAGAGTTGGAGGTTTCAGAATATTTATTTTTGTACCAATATCTTTCAGCTTTTCATGAAGTGGGAGGGTACGATGCCTTCATGGAAAAGTACATGAAAGCCATTCCAACTGTAATTTCTGATGGAAACTTCACTGCTGATGAAAAATGCTACACCCCGAGGGCCGACTCCTTCCACATCTTCCGAGATCCCATCGAGGGAGACCTTCCATGGCCTGGGCTCATCTTCGGGATGTCCATCCTTGCCCTGTGGTACTGGTGCACAGATCAGGTACCCAAGCTAGGATTTCTTGGGGCCTTACAGGAACTCCAGTCTGTCTGTGGCTTGTGAGAGATAGGGGAACTCATGTGATCTGTGGGTTGCTGAGGCCTGGTGACACTGGAGTGCCAGTTCAAAAGCCAGGATAGAGAAGGTAGGGTAGAAGGAAGGGTCACGGGGTCTCTGGGCCTCTGGGCTGCAGCCCTCCCTCACTAGGCTGTCCCTGGCAGGTTATTGTGCAACGCTGCCTCTCAGCCAAGAACATGTCTCACGTGAAGGCCGGCTGCACCCTGTGTGGATACCTGAAGCTGATGCCCATGTTCCTCATGGTGATGACAGGGATGGTCAGCCGCATCCTGTACACAGGTAATGCCTTTGCAGGACTTGCTGGTCACTACCCTCTTTCTGGTTCTAACATATTTGAAGTCTTGTAGCTCCCTGCTCCTTCTTTTCTGCCCTCTTCTTTTCTTGCCATGATTAACACACATTATTGTTTCCCTGATAGACAGTGAGTAACTTGAGCACAGAACATTTGGGGTGGGCTTCCCTGGTTTCTGAACATTGGCAAAGCAATTGATTTCCTTGTTAAAAATTATCTAGGATAAGCCCATAGCCTAGCGGTTAAGGGAACCAGATCCCACATGGCAGACTCTGGTTCGACTCCTGGACCTGGTAGCTTGAGAAATGCACTGGGTACATGTGGCCAAAATCCTGACAGTTTGAAGAAATGGGAGAAGGGATTGCCCCCTCTGGGGGTTCTCTCTCTCTCTCTCTCTCTCACTCTGTTTCTCCAGCTCTAATGAGCATACGTGCTCTCTGGCCACTTAAAAAATTATGTGAAGTCATGACATGCCTTTGGGCTTCTTCCAGCTAATAATAGTTGCTCAGTTGTTGCTCAACTGCTCCCTCCAACCTCCCAGGGCTATAGTAGTATACAGATGTCCTTTTACATTTTAATGTCAAAGGTCCCAGGAAGTCTCTAATTGCCTGCTGCTCTAAGCCTTGTTTCTTAGACCATTTTTCCTTGAAGGCTTCCCAGCCTTGTATTTTGCTATCTAATGTGATAGATTCTTTTAGGCCCCTTGGTGGCTTCTTAAGCATTGCTATTTGCAAATGGGGAGGAGGTGCTTCAAAAAATTCATGGAAAATGTATATTATGAAAAAACAATGCATGAATTAAAAAAATTTGTGCACCCACATAAACTCATACTTTAATTCCATTGTTCTAGGAACTTGTTGAAGTCCCCTTGTTTGTTGGATTGTTTTTTTTTTTTTTTTTTCTTTTGGTCAGCCGTCAAGGATTAAGGATTAAAACTCTTTCCTGGAACATGAAATGATAGCAAACATGACAGCACTACAGAGTGATAGTTGTTGAGTGCCCTCTAAAATGAAGACAGGACAGTCTGTCATTGCATGGGCCTAATAGTCCTCGCATATTCCTGTACTGGCTTGCCTGTCATGAAAAAAATATAGCTAATGAAATAGTTCAATGAATATTACATACATTTGTTTATAAAAATATCTGAGATAGTACTATAGTGAGTCAGTGCTATATGGGGCAGTACTAAATAAGGTGTGCCCTGGAGTAGGTACCCAACAAACGTTTGTTGATCTGGATGCCTTTTTTGTTTTAAGTATATTTTTTTTCTTGAGAGAGAAAGAAAACACCCCAATAGGGCCTAGACACCATGATCTGCCCCTTGCATCAGGCGTGCATGTGTATAGTGTATTTAGGAAGGTCTCTGGACATGAACCCAAAACCTTCCCATGTGGTTCATCCTCACAGAACATTGAGTTTTACTGCTACACCATCGTTAGGAACTCAAAAGTTCCATACAAGTTTTTAAAAATTTTTCAAAATCTCTCTCCTCCCAGGCTATTTTTTTTTTTTTTTTTTAAAAATTTTTTAAAATCTCTCTCCTCCCAGGCTATTTTTTTTTTTTTTTAATCTCTGGATTTCCTCACACTTTGGCAGCATTAGGTCATTGGGAAAGTCATGGCGTATTGTCTGTGCAAAAATACGTCATGACTTTCCCAATGACCCAACAGCACTCAACAGTCCTGCTACTACACAATGCATTCAACCAGCACCCAACAGTCCTGCTACTACACAATGCATTCAACCATACTAGCAAGAGCTGTTTAAAATACACCTTAAAATTTTGGAGTCACAGTCACTGTGATTTTTAGGAGAAAACAAAACAGTTGTTACTGCTGAGCTGTAGGGTAGTTGGTTGAAGTTTAAGGACCATGCCCTATTCCTTGCCACCCCGACTATTTCTTCCTTTCCTTTCTTTCTCTGCCTAGGAATGGTCTTTCTTCCCTAGTCAAAGTGTGGGGGGTGAATCAGAGCTAGTGGGCCAGGGGCATCACTTAGAAGGTCTCAGCTGGGAGCTGCACTCTTTGTGGAGCCATTGTGGGGCCTTTGACCGGAATGTTCTATTTTAATGTTTGTTTTAGTAATAGTTTGAAAATATCCCCCTGAGGTCTACTGGCTGACATATCTCTTGATCTCTCCCCAGAAAAAATTGCCTGTGTCGTCCCCTCAGAATGTGAGAGATACTGTGGCACGAAGGTTGGCTGTACCAACATTGCCTATCCAACTCTGGTGGTGGAGCTCATGCCCAGTGGTGAGAGTCTTTCTTGGGGGCTGATTAGATTTAAGCTCTTCCTAGATTTCTAAAGGCCTACTGGAGCAAAGATACTTTTGAGTCTGGGGGTGGGAAGAAGGTAAAGTCTTCCTGGGTGTCCTCAGTTTTTGTACATGTCTTCTCTCAGTGGGAAGGAGACTTATGGCTTGATGGGCTCTGGGGTCCAGGGACCTGTCCATCAATCAGGTGATCTGAAAACTCATTAGGAGTAAAACATGACTTTGTCGTGCTCATCAAGAGAGTCTTTCAAAGCTCTCCAACAGAAACAAAAGCATACCCACTATGGATAACAGTTCAGAGATTCTTCAAAAAATTAAAAATGAAACTACCATATGACCCAGCAATCCCTCTCCGGGCATATACCAAAAAGAAACGCAATCAGTACCTTGTGTGTGTCTGTGCTCCCATGTTCATTGCAACAGGTTACATAATGGCCAAGGTATGGAATTGGGTAAGTGCTCATCAATGGGCAAAGGAAATGTGGTATAAGTACACAATGAAATACTATTTAGCCTTTAAAAAGAAGGAAATCCTGTCATTTGTGACACCATGGATGAATCTGGAGGACTTGTGTTAGGTAAAATAAGCCAGGCACAGAAAGACAAATAGTATATGTTTTCACTTTTATATGGAATCTAAGAAGTTGAATTCATAGAAACAGTAAGAAAATGGTTACTAGGGTCTGGGGCGAAGGGTGGATTGGGGAGATCTTGGTCAAATAATATATTTTAGTTAGACTGGCAGAAAGGGTAAAAAAAACCCTGTTGTACAACATGGTATCTGTAGTTAATAACAATGCACTGTATATTTGCAAATCACCAAATGAGTAGATTTAAATTATTTTTACCATGAAAAAAAGGATACCTATGTGAGGTAATGCATATATTAATTAACTCAACTTAGCCATTCTACAATGTATACCTATTTAAAAACATGTTGTATTCCACAAATAAGTATATACATATATATATGTATATATATATGTATATATGCATATACATGTGCACACACGTATAATTTTAATATAAAATGATCTCCAATAGATATTTTTTAAAGAATTATTTTATTTAACTTTATTTATCCATTTATTTATTTGTTTTAATTTGAACAGAGAGGGGAGAAAAGGAGAGAGGGAGAGAGGGGGGAGAGAGAGGGAGGGAGGGGGAGAGAGAGAGAGAGAGAGAGAGAGAGTCCAAGCATATTTTACCTGAAAAATAAATTGATTTCTGGACTTTTCCAAGGAAATGCATGGAGAAAAAGGCAAGATTTTATCTGGAGAATGAGGAAAGTTGGTGGTTGATTGATGGAATTCAAGGGAACTTCCCATTATAAACAATGTTTTTCTAGTAGATTGAGTACTTAACTCTTAGTCTGCAATGGCTGGAAGTTTAGGACTAACCTGTGGGGTTACAGTTCATTTTTCATGTCAAAGAGAAATTTCTTAACTCTGGATCAAAGGATGAAAATCTGGTTAGGGATACCTCAAGAGACCAACGTTTTAAAGAGTTTAATTAGGAATATTTAGAATACACTCATAAAATTTTATTGTTAAAAAAGAAACTTAGAGACCATCCAGTCAAACTTCTTTTTATTTTTTTTAAAGGTTTTTGCCGTACAACACATTTACTTGCCAGAGACAGACAAACAGAGATAGAGAGGGAAAGTGAGAAATCACCCCCCAGGAGGGGATGGCCATGCCACAATCTCTTCTTTCCCTGGGATTTTGGACATGCGTGTACAGACATGCAGTATGATTTTCAAGGTGCCAGGTCTGGAACTTGAACCACAATCGGCCATGTGGGAGTCCAGCACCTTAACCACTACACCACTGTTGGCTTCCAAACGCCTTCATTTTACCGTTGGGGAAACTGAGGCCTAAGAGGGAAAAATGAGTTTTCCAAAGCCACAGAGCAGCTTGGCGCCTTCCATTGGGCTTGCTTAACTGCTCAAGACTGGAATTCAGGAATTCTGGTCATCTTGTTTTTTGTTTTTTTTTTTAAACCACAAACTTCATACATAACCTTGAGAAAACCATTTGCATTTAAATAATCTAAAAATAGGAATAATAGTTAACTACTCCACTGAGCTGGGCTGCTTATTAATTAAGGTTGCAATTAGCAAGAGTCACAGCAGCTCTCTTAGAGTTCTGGCTTGGCTTACACTGGCCTCTGTGGGGTATTAGTGTTATTTCTTCAGGTTGGTACACCCCTTAGTGAGGACGTACCTCTGAACACTGTTCTAGAGTGGATGTGTACAGAAAGAGGTGTGGCGTGCGGAACAACCAAATGCTGGGCTGATATCTGCCGTGGCCAGTTGCTCCCCTGTGGCTGCAATCTGGTTTCTGTACATACTGAATCCCCCCGTGACCTCCCTGTCAAGATCAAATAGTTTCCATTTCTCATCTAACTTGACCTCTCAGTGTCAGTCACATTCATTATTGATCACTCATCGTTCTTGAGTTATTCTGTTCTCTTGGATTCCATAATTCTACACTCGCCTATTTGTCTTGTCTCCATTCTCCTCAGCTGCCTCTTTTTGTCCTATTTGCAGATTCAGCCTCCTCCTCTCAGCCAGTTAATGCTCGCCCATGAATCCACGTCAAATTTTGTTCACATTATCGTCTAAATATCACTTATATTCTACCTCTCTGTGTTTTTACATCTATTATGCTAACCCTATGGCTTGCCTGTAAAATTATGTTCAGCAAGTATTTGTTGAGTGAATAAATGAATGAGGGTTTGATGACAGTGTGGAACACAGGGGAGAGTTCTAGCCCAGTGTAGCAATTTCAGGGAGAAGTGACTCTGAGCAAACGGTAGCACTAGGACTGGGACCTTACCTATTAACTCCTTGAAATGGACCTTGGTTTTGTCAACAGTGAAATAAGGGAGTCAGATTTGATCATCTTTATAATTCCTTTTATAGCTCCTATAGTCTGTGATCTACATTATATGAACTCAGGAAGAACCCTTTATAAAACCTCCCAACAAATGACAAAGTAATTGGAATAAGTAGCCCAAATCAGAATAACGGATTGTTGTTTAAAGTTTTTTCAGTCATCCTATCAGAAATGAGACCTACATATAATATGTATGGTGATATCTTTGGACTACTACACAGTGTGTTCATGCTGGGAAAATTCGTTTAGTAGGCTATAAAGATGTATAGTGATTGAATATAAAAAAATAAGAAAATAAAAGAAAGAAACAAAAAGAAATGAGACCTAGAGGTTGACATAACTTGCTTAGAGTGAGAGTTAGAAATAGTTTTTTCATCTTCTATTTCCTTCCCCTCTTCCTATTCTTCTTCCTCTTCTTTCTCCTCTTACATCTATTCTTCTTCCTCTTCCTCTTCCTCCTCTTTTTCTTAATGGGAAAGATAGAACAAGCAAGAAGGAGAGCGAGAAGTACATATTTTGGGGGACAGATTCTCAGTATGTTGTGATCCTCCTAGTTAACTAGGGTCACGGGCTCATGCCACTGTGCCAGGCCTGTTGTAGGTTGGGCTGAGACTGAACCCAGGCCCCCCATGTGGTCTCAGCCATTCTGTAGAGGTGCCCACTTGGGCCACTGTGTCTGGGCCAGACTTGTCTTTTTGAAAATAACAACTTCTTGAGCTATAATTCACATGTAATTTACCCATTTAAAGTGTCCAATTCAATGTTTTTTTTACAATACTCAGAATTGTGCGACTATCACCCAAATCAGTTTTGGAAAATTTACATTACTCCATTAAAAAAATCCCATTAAAGAAATTAGCAGTCACTCCCTACTTAACCTCAGTTCCCCAGCCCTAGGAAATCACTATTATACTTTCTGTCTTTATAGATTTTCCAATTCTGGACATTTTCTATTAACAGAGTCAGATAGTGTGTGGTTCTTTGTGATCAACTTCTCTCTTTGCACATATTCATTCATGTTGTAGCATCTATCTGCACTTCATTTTTTATTGATGAATAATATTCTATTGCATTTTTATGCCTTTATCAGTTGCTTATCCATTTTGTTTATCCATTTATCAGTTGGCGAACATTTGAATTGTTTCCATTTTTTGGCTATTATAAATAATGTTGCTATGAAAATTCATATGTAGGGAACCAGCAGTTAGCGTAATGGCTATGTCGCTGGACTCCCACGTAGTCGACCGCGGTTCGCATCTCGGACCCGGTGGCTTAAATCTCACGCCGGGCGCGTGTGCGTGCGTGCCCAAGATCCCGAGAGGAGAATGGAGGAGAAGGGATTGCGGCGTGACCATCCCCCCTGGGGGGTGATTTCTCGCTTTCTGTCTCTATGTCTCTCTCTGTCTGTCTGGCGAGCGCACGCGCCCTATAGCGAAAACCTCTCCAAAAAAAAAAAAAAGAAAAAGAAAATTCATATGTGAGTTTTTGTGTGGACATATGTTCTCATTTCTCTTGGGAAGATACCTAGAGGTGGAATTGGTGGGTCATATGATAACTCTCTGTTTAACTATTTGAAGAGCTGCCAAACAATTTTCCACAGTGACTGTATCATTTTTCTTTTTTCCCAGCAACATGTAAGGGTTCCTATTTTTCCACATCTCCACTTACACTTGTGATCATCTATATTTTCCAGTATTATTATTATACCATCCTAGTGGGTGCGAAGTACCTCATGTGGCTTTGATTTGAATTTCCCTGATGTCAAGCATCTTTCATGTCATTCCTGGCCATTCATATATCTTCGGAGAAGTGTCCATTCAGATCTTTTGCCATTTTAAATGATTTATCTAGTATTATTTTCTCCTACAGTTTATTTATGTATTTTTTCTAAGAGAAATAGAGATGGGGGCACACCCCCAACAGAGTCTTGTCGTCTTAGCTGGTCTCACTCATGGGCATGTGCATGCACCTGGAATGCTCAGGGAGGGCCCAGGATGTGAACCCAGGACATTCCCCAAGTGGGCTACTACATTACCACTGCTCCACCATCTGGCTCCTGTCTTTTTGTTATTGAGTTGGAAGAGTTTTTATATCTTTTGTATACTACGCACTTATCAGATAGATGATTTGCACATTCCTATTCATTTCCATTTCACTTCCATTCTGTGACTGTTTTTTTTTTTTTAAACCGTTTTGACTATCTCATCTTTTGAATCCTAATTTAAATCTCTTTCTGCTGTATCATGAATCTTTTGGGTGAGAGACCTTGTAAAAATCCCCTCAGATGAAATATATACCTACTATCACCACTACCATAATAACCATCATTATCTAACTGCAAATATTTATCTCATGTGCATTTTTGTCTCTAAGCTGTTTGTTGTTTGTTGTGGGCTTACAATGTAATTTAAAGCCACAGACGATTTCCTGAAACTTTATTTTTTGGAGAGGTTTTTGCTATAGGGCGCGTGCACTCACCAGAAAGACAGAGAGAGACAGAGAGACAGAAAGCGACTAATCACCTCCCAGGGGAGATGGCCACACCACAATCCCTTCTCCTCCATTCTCCTCTCGGGATCCTGGGCACACATGCACATATGCCCAGCGTGAGTTTAAGCCACCAGGTCTTGGACTCGAACCATGGTCAACTACATGGCAGTCCAGTGACAGAGCCATTATGCCAACTGCTGGTCCCCTGAAAATTTTTATAAATTTAATTTTATTCATTGTCATTATTTTATTTTATTTTTAAAGTCTATGAGAGAGAGAGAGAGAGAGAGAGAGAGAGAGAGAAAGTGAGAAAACAAGCTGCCATGTACAGGACGTGAACCACAGTCAGCCATGTGTGAGTCCACCTGCCTTACCACTATGCCACATGCCAACCCCAATTTCCTAAAACTTTTTAATCGGAGATAGAAGTTGGAGAACCCGAGATGGTTTTAGACAGCAAAGAAGCCTGAGACCTCATACTTCCCAAGTACAAGAGAGCTGAGTTGCAGTATGTGGCACTCAGAACCTCCTTCTCTTCCAGGACTGCGAGGCCTGATGCTGTCGGTAATGATGGCCTCTCTCATGAGTTCCCTGACCTCCATCTTCAACAGCGCCAGCACCCTCTTCACCATGGACATCTACACCAAGGTCCGGAAGGGAGCGTCTGAGAGAGAGCTCATGATTGCAGGAAGGTAAGTGCAGCTTCCCCCTGCTTCCATCTGGGCTACTCCTCGAGACAGGGCAGAATGGCAGATGTCTGGGTAGAATGGTATTTCCCTTGGTCTGTCTTTAGTTTTCCTGATATGATATTGACTTCAGAACTTCTTGTAGAGCTGGTCTAGTATTGGTGACTTCTTTCAGTTTTTGTTTATCTGAGAGTAGTTTTATTTGTTCTCCTCAACTGAAGGATAATCTTGCCAGGTATAGTATTCTTGGTTGAAATTGTTTCTCTTTTCGTGTTTCGAATACGTCTTTCCATTCTTTCCTTGCCTGTGTTGTTTCAGTTGAGAGGTCTGAAGTTAGCCTAATGGGATAACCTTTACAAGAAACTTGATGTTTCTCTCTTGCCATTTTTAGAATATTGTCTTTGTCCTTGATCTCTCTATGACGTGCCTGGGGAAGGATCTTTTTATGTTAATTTTATTTGAAATTCTTATTATTTTTGGGTTTGAATTTCTCCATGTTTCTCTGTATTTGGAAAGTGCTCAGATAGTATTTCATGAACTCTTCATGAAAGCATTTTTCCATGCCCTTATCAGGTGCTTCATCTTCTGGAATATCCATTATTTGGATTTTTAGGCATTTCATGATGCCTAGGATTTACTGTATGTTATCCTCATTCTCTCCCCCGCCCCCCATTCTTTTTGGTGGTTTGGTCTATGCTGGAGACTTTGTCTTCAAGGTCAGTAATTCATTCTTCTACATGGTCCAAACTGCTGTTAATGTTTTTTAGGGAAATTTTAATTTCTTTTATTGTATTCTTTATTTCTAGAAGTTCTGTTTGGTTCTTTTTAAGGGTTTCTATCTCTTTATGGAATTCCTCTTTTATGTCCTGGAATGTCCTTTTCTCATTTCCTGCAATCAATTATTTTCTCTTGCATCTCATGAATAGTTAGAATTCTTTTTCTGACATTTCTGTGAATTCCTTTGTGCTGTCCATTGTTGATGGGGCTGGGGCTACTGCGGTCACCTGGGAGAGGGTTCCCCCTTGTTTTCTCATGTTTCTTTGAGATCTGCACTGGCTTTTTGACATCTGATGTAGTATTCACTTTTTCCTGTTTATTGGAGTAGAGTCTGTAGTATTGGAAGAGGGAATTTCACCCTTAGGTCTCAGGTGTTTTCCTCTTAGAGGGCTGTATCTTTCAGATGAGAGCAGATAAAACTTAAACATGTAACTTCCAGAGGTTGGCTCCTCTACCAAACTTTCAGCTCTTGAGGTGGGAGCAAGCTAAGGAAATAAAACTTAGTGAAGAGGATCCAGTTACACACAGCACAGGGTAGCACTCCAACCCCAAGAAGTGGTGTTGTGCTTATGAGAAGAGGCCTGCTGAGACCAGGACCAAGTCTCCCAGCAGGCGGTGGGTGGGTAGAACCCAGGCAGCAGGGAGTCTTGAATGAAAGGAGAGCCACAAGTTCCAAAGATAATCTGGGAGGTGGGGGTGTACCCGCAAGAGGCCTATGGATACCAGGCCTAAGTGTCCCAGTGGGCAGATTGAGCCAAGGCAGCAGGGAGCACTGGGCAGACAGAGTGCTTCAAGTTCCAAGATAACTCCCATAATATTTTAAAATATGCTTTTCCATGAAATTTTTGAAGGTCCCTCATACACATACCTGTGTATTTATATTTGCTAATTTGGTGTGGTTTTACTCATGTACAGTTATTTATTGCCACTGTGTTGTGGGGCTTTGATTTCAGGTTGTTCATCTTGGTGCTGATTGGGATCAGTATCGCCTGGGTCCCCATTGTGCAGTCAGCCCAAAGTGGGCAGCTCTTTGACTACATCCAGTCCATCACCAGTTACTTGGGACCACCCATCGCGGCTGTCTTCCTGCTTGCTATTTTCTGCAAGAGAGTCAATGAGCCCGTAGGTATCATTCTGGCATGTCCAGAAAAGCCATCCTGACACAGACGTTTCCATGAGGGTTTCCATAGTTCCTGTGGGAGGGATTCTGTGTTCCAGAGATCTTCAGAATGTGCATGTGCTGCTAAAGGTTGGTACAGGAAAATGTCCAGGCACCAACAGGCTCTCTGGGAGCTGGAGGAGACTCCTCAGAGTTGGTACAGAGAACTCATTCTCTGACTCCCCCATTCTTGCTATAGGCTCCCAACTAAATGATGCGTATTTTATGTCCGATCTTGGTGATCTGGACCTGACTGCACAGCATCCCGTGGGGAGTGTGCAGGGCTTATGTTGAGCAGTTGCAGAGGAAATCCTAGCGTAAATCACCTCCAGTGGCTCTGCTGTGAGCTTGGCTTTCCAGCTGGCACTTGTCATTGTTGTTGTTATTTGTAGTTTTTGCTACAGGGAGAGAGAGAAGGAGAGAGAGAGAGAGAGAGAGAGAGAGAGAGAGAGAATGAAAATAACCCCCAGGAGGGAGGTCCACACCACAATTTCTTTTTTTCCAGTCTCTTCTTGGGATTTTGGGCACACACGCACAAGTATGTGTTTTAACTGGCAGGACTGGGACTTGAACCACACAGTCAGCCATATGGGACCCAGCACCTTAAGCTTCATGCAGCCTGCTGGCCACGTAATCAGTTTTGAGATGTATAAATCACCACATATGCCACTCTTTTTAAAAAACTTGCCACTAGGAGGATAACTCATATTTTCTGGTGACATAAAATATATGTAAAATATAACTAACTAAATAAATACAAACAAACAAACCTGACAAGAAACTACTTTACCTCACAAGTAACTGTATTTGCACATGCCTAAATCTGGAGACTGGTGGTGACAGTAGCTTCAAGTAGAGATGTTCAAGTTATTATTTATTTACTTTTTATTTTTTTTCCAGTAGGGTGTGTGCACTTGTTGGAGAGAGACAGAAAGAGGAAAAACAAGAAATCAGGCCCCAGGGAGGATGGCCATACTGCATTTTTTTCTCCTTCATTCTTCTCTCAGGATTTTGGGCACATATACACATACACCTAGAGTGATTTTCAAACAACTGGGTCTGGGACTTGAACCATAGAGTTGGTCATGTGGGAGCCCAGTGCCTTAACCACCATGCCACCTGTTGGCCTCTCAAGTTATTTTTTAAGTTAAAAGAAAAAAAAATTTTTTTTGGAGAGATTTTCACTATAGGGCGCGTGTGCTCGCCAGACAGACAGAGAGAGACATAGAGACAGAAAGCGAGAAATCACCCCCCAGGGGGGATGGTCACACCGCAATCCCTTCTTTTCCATTCTCCTCTCAGGATCTTGGGCACGCACGCACACGCGCCCAGCATGAATTTTAAGCCACCGGGTCCGCGACGCGAACTGCGGTTGACTACATGGGAGTCCAGCGACATAGCCATTACGCTAACTGCTGGTTCCCAAGTTAAAAGAAATTTTGAATTAAGACTTCTAGTGAACGTTCTCTACCAGTGATTAGACACTTGATTGTGAATCCTTGTTTTATAATCCAAGTGAAATTACGGATGGATTTTCATTTGAAAATTTCATGGATTTTCAGTGAAATCCACGGAAATATGATGGACAGATCTACTTACAGCTTAACATAATGCTCCTAGCCTTATTCTGAACTCCACTGCTGTGACTTCAGATGACCTGGAGTTACCATTTGTCCCATCTTTATTCCTTTACATCCACATGCCCCTTTAGTGCCCTGCTCTTCTGTATGTTTGGCATTGGCTAACCCAGCATTTTCTTTCACAGGGAGCCTTTTGGGGACTGATACTAGGTTTCCTGATTGGGATTTCCCGAATGATTACCGAGTTTGCTTATGGAACTGGGAGCTGCATGGAGCCTAGTAACTGTCCCACAATTATCTGTGGGGTTCACTACCTGTACTTTGCCATCATCCTCTTTGTCATTACTCTCTTCACCGTCCTGATTGTCTCGTTCTTAACCAAGCCCATTCCAGATGTGCATGTGAGTATCTATTTGGGAAACCTGTCCTGCCCTTGTTTTACGTTTACACTACAACACTCTCGGACATCCCACGCATGACTAAAATCATCCACACTTGCTGTGTGTTTCATGTAATTTATTGTTAGGAAAGTCATGATGCATTTTTGCAATTGTATTGTTAGAAAAGTCATGATGCATTTTTGCATAGAAAAACAGACAAAATACTTTATAACTCGTACAACAACCCAGTAGAAGGATGTAGGACAGGAAACACAGAGTGCCAGGAGGGCAGCATCAAGCGTGCATCTTATAGCAGTCTATACTTCAGTCCAGGCTATTCTCTGGATCCTCTCTTTGAGTGACAGATCAGGTACAAGGGCATAAGACCTTATGGGTGGGCACAGGGATAATCTGACTTAGAAGCCCATATCCTAAGTAGGAACCAAGCCCATATTCTAAGTAGGATTTTCTGACGGTTCCATGGTCAGATCTTCCAGGGCTCCCAGCAAAGGGCATGCCTAATTATGAAATAACTACATTCAGGGAAGCTGGAATTATGGTTTCCCTCTTGATTTTTTTTTCCCAATTAAGTCACCAAACTCATAGAATTCAAGACAGTTATAACATTATCAAAGTCCAATTGACTCAAGACTTTGAAAATTATGATTACTTTTCTTTAGCTCTGGATGCCCCCTTTAACTTAGGGTTCATTCATAACTGTTCCAACCCAGATAAAGGTTACCAATTATTGGCATTTATTTGTTTATTTATTTATTTACTTACTTACTTATTTACCATAACCAGCATAACCTGGTTACCCAACACAGATGACATTCACCTTTTTCAGGTTTCCAAGGGAACAGAGCTACAAAGCTAACCCAAGGTCATATTTATCCGTAGAAAAAGACAAAGGATTTTATTAGCACTTACATTTACAGGGCCCATGGGATCCCAAAGAGACCTTCAGCCTTGTTGCCACAATTTTAAGAGCTATGACAAAGCTTAGTGCAAGACAAAGACTGTTCTTATAGTGGCAAAACCACCATCATGTCTATTGACTGGGACTGGCACAGGCATTCTTTGTGTGGTATCAGCTGCTTCCTTGTTTCAGTCTGGTTCTGCACTGCTTCCTGAAGTGGAGAAAGCAAAGTAGTCACCAAAGGGCATGGTCACATGAACACCTTCTCCTGATTTCCAGGGTTCCTCAGGCTGGTTCATGATGTAGACTATGTCAATAGAAGCCACGTTTCAGTGGGGCTGGATGGTGGCACGGTGGTCAAATGCAGTGTTCTGTGAGGTATATCTACCTGGGAAGGTTACTTGTTCACATCCAGCTGTCTCCCCAAGTGTGCCAGGCATGTGTGTGCCCATGCCTGTGATCCAGGCAGGCTGAAACGGGGGGTATCTTGCAGCATCAAGACCCTGTGGGTGTGCTGCATCTCTGTCTCTCTCTCTCTGTCTTTTTCATGTATTAAATAATTTAAAAAATTCCTTTTTCAAAGTATTTACTTATTTAATATCATGTGTTGTTATTATTTTTAAATTTGACCAGAGAGAGAGACAGAGAGAAAGGGAAAGTGAGAAAGCAAGCCACCAGGTCCAGGACTCGAACCTTAGCTGGCCATGTGGGAATCCAGTGCCTCTAACCACCATGCTACTTGCTGGCCCCGCATTAAATAATTTTTTTTTTTGAAAAGAAGTTGTGTTTCCAACTCTATCCTATTCTAATATGGCTCATTATTATGATTCTTATCCCCATAGTATGACACAGCGTGAACACATGACTGACACTGCTGGTCTTGACAGATGTTTCCTACTACCAATGCTAGAAGGAACAAACTCATTTATCACGTGTAAAAAGATTTTATTCATTCCATGAACATTTCTGTATTCACAGTCTCTCAGGTTCTCAATATATGTATATCAGAAGGGTTGAGGTGTATGATTTACATAGAAGTTTCTAAAAAAATTAGAGATAATGATATTGAAGGGTCACATTCCTTTCCTTTTTCTTTTTTTTTAGAGATTTTTGCCTTAGGGCACGTGTGCTCAGTGGAGAGAGAGACAGAGACAGTGAGAGGGAAAGTGAGAAATCTCCCCCCTCCCTGGGGTGGGGATGGCCATGCTACAATCCCTTCACCTTCATTCTTCATTCTTCTCCCAAGATTTTGGGCACACATGCACATACACACACACACCCAGCTTGATTTTCAAGCCACCAGAACAGGATTTGAACTGTGATCAGCCATGTGGGAGCTCAGCAACATAACCGCTATGTAATCTGCTGGCCCTTTTTTCCTTTCTTGATGCATGCATATATCATCATTCTCCCAGGTTCTTGGCTTAAGTCTCTATTTGGATCTTTCTGTTGACTGGTTCTGCTCTGCCAACAGCTCTACCGATTGTGCTGGAGCCTGCGTAACAGCACAGAGGAGCGTATTGACCTGGATGCAGGAGAGGAATACGTCCAAGAAACACCAAAGGAGGACCTCGAAATAGGTAATTTATGATTTAGAGCCTATTCCCAAGTAACAAAATACTATGCCTATCACATAAAGATAATTTTATTGACACCACCTCTAAATGGCATCATCAAAGCTCAGATCTCTCCTCCAGGAGAATGTGGAGTGGAGCAGGGTTGAGTTGGCTAAGTGGATTTCGGAAAGTCCTCTCTGAGGTCTGGCCAAGGAGGGAAGGGAGGGACAGAATCATTCCAGCCCCTCACCTCTCGTATTTTACAGTGAGTAAGGAACTGGTCATTCTGCCTCAATTTGAGTCACGAGCAGGAATAAGAAAAGTCAGAACTCTTGTGACATAGCCCATCTACTGAGAGAAGATGGAACCCAAGCTGTGGTCAGTTCTAGAGACATCAAGAGCTGGCATAGAAGCTCTTGGGGTATTCTGTCTTACTGGCTTACCATATGAGATGTAGAAAATCAAACTGAGAAGCCTGAATAATGCTTAGTCAGCGCCAAGACACATGTCCTATAAGGAAATGCTTTCTTAAGCTTTAGCCTTGCACATTTTTCTCCCTACATGGGAAATGCACACATAGAGGATGATTGTGGAGAGGTGGTATGTGTGGCGTGCAGAGATAGGGGAGCTCATGGTCACATGTGCTTTGCCTGGTGCTGGGCTGAGGTCTCACCACTCCATCTGAAGAAGAGCACACAGATGCAGCAGAAGTTCATCAGGAATGTCACAGAGTTCTATTTCTGAAAGGGCTCTGGAAATCATTTGGTATTATCACCTCTTTTCACAGGTACTTAAATTGAGGCCCAGGGAGGGAGATGCTTTGCCTATAGTCCCAGCTCTGATGCATTCTACTTGTGATTTCTAAGAATCTTTCAGTTCTAAACTGGTGTGAAAAGTATTGGAGAGAGGATGACGCTGCAGGCAGCTCTCCATGGTTCTGAAAACAGGAAGCCCCTTTTTGTTTCCCCAGAGCAGGCCCCTCCACTTCTCTTACCTCTGAAAATGTCTTCCCATTGAGTAAGACTATCATATATTTTAAAGGGACCTGGGTGAGGAGTATTTTAAAGTATCAAGAGGTTTAAATGTGGAAGAAGAGATTAATTTTGCACTAGAGGGCAGACTTAAGATGAGAGGAAAAAATTCATCCAATTTTAACGCAGAGTAATGAGGCAGGATAGGGCAGAGATAGATTGTGGGGTTTGGAATCAGGAATAACTGGGATTAAATCATGATTTCTCTTTTTATTATCCTAGTTAATTGGTTCTATTTTTTTAAGGTCCAGATTCCTTATGTAAGAGTATTCTAAGTGATAGCCCACACCACCTAGCACAGCTGGAAACATTGAACAAGATCATACTTCTGTAGAAGAGTTGGTGGGACCAGCAGATGGCATAATGGTTACGTTGCTGGATTCCCATGTAGTAGACCATGGTCTGAGTCCCAGACCTGGCAGCGTAAAACACATGCTGGGCATGTGTGCATGTGTGCCCAAGATCCTGAGAGAAGAATGGAGGAGAAAAGATTGCAGCATGACTGTCCCCCTTGGGGGGTGATTTCTCACTTTCAGTCTCTCTGTCTCTCTAGCAAATGCATGCACCCTATAGCAAAAATCTCTCTAAAAAAAAAAAAGAATTGGTTGTAATTATCACAATAACAATTGCTTTGAAGGAAGAGTTTTCTAACTGAGTTGGTCTGGAAAGGGTTGAGTGGCAAGTTTGCATCTACCAGGGATGCTGTAGAGGGGATGCCCATACTGGGTAGAGAACAGGCTTATTGAACTCCGAGGCCCATGACAGCACTTGAATTCAGTTGTTTCTTACTTATTTATTTTCATAATCTTGTTTGTATTATATTGAATCACATATAACTTTACAGTGTATTACATTTCTTTTACCAGAAGGAATGCCATGCATATCATTCAATACAGAGACATTAAAATCCCCGTCTTCATCATCCAGTAGCTTTTCATTTTTTCCCCAATTATTATTATTCCAATTATTTTTTAAAAACAATCACTATTTATCATTTTGCTTGTAAAAAGACTTCACCCAACACGAAATACTTCTCAGACCAATTCTGTTGTTTCTTGATGAAATCAGGCTGAACACTGTAGTCTATTATAAAGCACTAGAAGCTAAGCTCTCTTGAGGGCTTTTGTAGACCACAGGCATCACACCCACCATTCTCTGAGAAGCAACAGCATGAAGCCTTGCTGTGGCACCACCATTCTCATATAATTATCATTATAGTTCATCATCACCTTCATCATATGACAGATAATAACATGATCACAGCATATTTTAATGATTGGGTCATCAGGAAAGTCATGATACATTTGTGCATAGAAAAATATAGAAAAATATGTCATGACTTTTCAGATAACCTAATGGAAGTACCTTACTCTAATTGAGTGATTCATTTGGCACCACATCATTTTTTTTAAAAAATATAATGCAAGTATAACTTTTTCAAATTTACAGTGAGGAATATGAGACAGAGACATTCTTAAGGCCATTCAACATTTTATTGACCCAGATAACCATATATTTCTTTTCATTTTTTTGGAGAGGTTTTTGCTATAGGGCTCATGCGCTCGCCAGACAGAGAGAGACATATAGACAGAAAGCGAGAAATCACCCCCCAGGGGGGTTGGTCATGCTGCAATCCCTTCTCCTCCATTGTCCTCTCAGGATCTTGGGCACGCACGCACATGCGCCCGGTGTGAGTTTTAAGCCACTGGGTCCGGGACGCGAACCGTGGTCAACTATGTGGGAGTCTAGCAACATAGCCATTACGCTAACTGCTGGTTCCCGTTAACCATATATTTCTCACTTGAACTAGTCAATGAGCCCAACTTATCACTCTCTTTCTTACACAATCTGATATATTAGTGGAGTGAGTCAAAGGGGAGAGGTACAAGGAGGCTCTTCTAGCTTGTGTGAGAAAAGAGAGAGAATGGAAGGAGGCTAACACTTCTTAACATCTACTCTGAGGAGGCCTTCAAAATGTTCATGGAAAAGTCTCTGAAAAACAAAAACTGAATGGATTTCAAGTTTGTTTACACCAAAATAAACTTTAATTTTACTTCTACTTTCCCATGGACTTTTTGAAGTTCCCTCACATGCGTTGGGTGCTCTCTCACTAAATCATTAAAATAAATCTCTCTTTAAATATTCATTAATATAGTGAATAAAGTATTATTTATGCAATCTTAGATACCTGAAGATAAGAGAGGTGAATTAAGTAGACCACAAAACTGATTTTGGGTCCCAGTTTTGACACATGTATGGGTTTGATCACTAAGGTTCTTTCTAATTCTAACATTCTGTGACTCTTTAAAGATTTAAACAATGGAAAGTGTAGGGCCAGTCCTGTGGTCTAGTAGTTAAGGTAGCTGGATCCCACATGGCAGGCTATGGTTGTGATCCTGGCTGTGGTGGATTGAAAAACATACTGAGTGTGTGTATGTGTGTCCCAAATCCTGACAAGATGGAGAAATGGAGAAGAGTAATGAGGCAGGATAGGGCAGAGATAGATTGTGGGGTTTGGAATCAGGAATAACTGGGATTAAATCATGATTTCTCTTTTTATTATCCTAGTTAATTGGTTCTATTTTTTTAAGGTCCAGATTCCTTATGTAAGAGTATTCTAAGTGATAGCCCACACCACCTAGCACAGCTGGAAACATTGAACAAGATCATACTTCTGTAGAAGAGTTGGTGGGACCAGCAGATGGCATAATGGTTACGTTGCTGGATTCCCATGTAGTTGACCATGGTCTGAGTCCCAGACCTGGCAGCGTAAAACACATGCTGGGCATGTGTGCATGTGTGCCCAAGATCCTGAGAGAAGAATGGAGGAGAAAAGATTGCAGCATGACTGTCCCCCTTGGGGGGTGATTTCTCATTTTCAGTCTCTCTGTCTCTCTAGCAAATGCATGCACCCTATAGCAAAAATCTCTCTAAAAAAAAAAAAGAATTGGTTGTAATTATCACAATAACAATTGCTTTGAAGGAAGAGTTTTCTAACTGAGTTGGTCTGGAAAGGGTTGAGTGGCAAGTTTGCATCTACCAGGGATGCTGTAGAGGGGATGCCCATACTGGGTAGAGAACAGGCTTATTGAACTCCGAGGCCCATGACAGCACTTGAATTCAGTTGTTTCTTACTTATTTATTTTCATAATCTTGTTTGTATTATATTGAATCACATATAACTTTACAGTGTATTACATTTCTTTTACCAGAAGGAATGCCATGCATATCATTCAATACAGAGACATTAAAATCCCCGTCTTCATCATCCAGTAGCTTTTCATTTTTTCCCCAATTATTATTATTCCAATTATTTTTTAAAAACAATCACTATTTATCATTTTGCTTGTAAAAAGACTTCACCCAACACGAAATACTTCTCAGACCAATTCTGTTGTTTCTTGATGAAATCAGGCTGAACACTGTAGTCTATTATAAAGCACTAGAAGCTAAGCTCTCTTGAGGGCTTTTGTAGACCACAGGCATCACACCCACCATTCTCTGAGAAGCAACAGCATGAAGCCTTGCTGTGGCACCACCATTCTCATATAATTATCATTATAGTTCATCATCACCTTCATCATATGACAGATAATAACATGATCACAGCATATTTTAATGATTGGGTCATCAGGAAAGTCATGATACATTTGTGCATAGAAAAATATAGAAAAATATGTCATGACTTTTCAGATAACCTAATGGAAGTACCTTACTCTAATTGAGTGATTCATTTGGCACCACATCATTTTTTTTAAAAAATATAATGCAAGTATAACTTTTTCAAATTTACAGTGAGGAATATGAGACAGAGACATTCTTAAGGCCATTCAACATTTTATTGACCCAGATAACCATATATTTCTTTTCATTTTTTTGGAGAGGTTTTTGCTATAGGGCTCATGCGCTCGCCAGACAGAGAGAGACATATAGACAGAAAGCGAGAAATCACCCCCCAGGGGGGTTGGTCATGCTGCAATCCCTTCTCCTCCATTGTCCTCTCAGGATCTTGGGCACGCACGCACATGCGCCCGGTGTGAGTTTTAAGCCACTGGGTCCGGGACGCGAACCGTGGTCAACTATGTGGGAGTCTAGCAACATAGCCATTACGCTAACTGCTGGTTCCCGTTAACCATATATTTCTCACTTGAACTAGTCAATGAGCCCAACTTATCACTCTCTTTCTTACACAATCTGATATATTAGTGGAGTGAGTCAAAGGGGAGAGGTACAAGGAGGCTCTTCTAGCTTGTGTGAGAAAAGAGAGAGAATGGAAGGAGGCTAACACTTCTTAACATCTACTCTGAGGAGGCCTTCAAAATGTTCATGGAAAAGTCTCTGAAAAACAAAAACTGAATGGATTTCAAGTTTGTTTACACCAAAATAAACTTTAATTTTACTTCTACTTTCCCATGGACTTTTTGAAGTTCCCTCACATGCGTTGGGTGCTCTCTCACTAAATCATTAAAATAAATCTCTCTTTAAATATTCATTAATATAGTGAATAAAGTATTATTTATGCAATCTTAGATACCTGAAGATAAGAGAGGTGAATTAAGTAGACCACAAAACTGATTTTGGGTCCCAGTTTTGACACATGTATGGGTTTGATCACTAAGGTTCTTTCTAATTCTAACATTCTGTGACTCTTTAAAGATTTAAACAATGGAAAGTGTAGGGCCAGCCCTGTGGTCTAGTAGTTAAGGTAGCTGGATCCCACTTGGCAGGCTATGGTTGTGATCCTGGCTGTGGTGGATTGAAAAACATACTGAGTGTGTGTATGTGTGTCCCAAATCCTGACAAGATGGAGAAATGGAGAGGAGATTGCAGTGTGACCATGCCCCATTGGGGAGTGATTTCTCCCTCCCTCTCTCTATCTCTCTCTGGTAAGCATACATCACCTTTGGCAATTTAAAAAAATTAGAAAAAAGTACAGAGCAGTGGTGTTTGACCTTGGTGTGTAAATATAATGGGCTTGATCTGTCCATTGAGTGCTGGACCTAGGCTTTGAAACCAGGTCTGTCTACTTCCAGTTGGGCTCAGAGGAGGGAATTCACTTTCTTGGTAGACATCCACTTTGAGTGTCAGGACCAGTTGGATGGTTTGATTCAGTACTGTTGACATGCAATACCTCTTCTTAAGACTGGAAGTGTTGGGGCCAGCAGTTAGCGTAATGGCTGTGTCGCTGGACTCCCACGTAGTCGACCGCAGTTCGCGTCCTGGACCCGGTGGCTTAAAACACGCCAGGCGCATGTAGGTGCGTGCCCAAGATCCTGAGAGGAGAATAGAGGAGAAGGGATTGCAGCATGGCCATCCCCCTGGGGGGTTGATTTCTCGTTTTCTGTCTCTCTGTCTGTCTCTGTCTGTCTGGTGAGCGCACGTACCCTATAGCAAAAACCTCTCAAAAAAAAAAAAAAAAAGACTGAAAGTGTTGATGACTGCTGCCCTGCATTAGGGGCATTTCAGACCAACTTTTATCACTCATCTGGACCTGTGGTGAAGCCTTAGCATTGGAACTTGTAGCTAAGGTGCTCCCAAGTCATGCCAGCCTCATTGTTTTCCAGTGATTTAACATACAAATACGAGTTTTGGGGTTTGGGGTGAGTTCTCCATTTCCTTCATATGCCATAATTCTTCAGCCCATTGTCAACATTCCTCCCTCATAGATTATTGTTTGATCTTCCTGTTATACATGAAAATCCACTTGTATTGGGCCTGATAGAGATGAAACTTAGGCTAGCTGATATAAGGATGTGAAATCCATTTAGTAACATCATCTTGTAACTATTGATAGTTAGGTTCTTTGAAGATTTGGTGACATTTCTATTCCTAAAAACAAGAAAATTGGGAAATTTCTGCAGAGTGATATGTGCTCTATGGTGTGGGCATCTCCTCTGGAAGCTTTTCTCTTTTTTCCTTTTAAAAAATTTACTGGGGCCAGCAGGTGGAGTAGTGGTTAAGGCACTGGACTCCCACATGGACAACTGTGGTTCAAGTGACTTAAGACTGGATCCAGTGACTTAAGACTCATGTTGGGCACATTTCTATGTGCCTAAAATCCCAGGAGGAGAATGGAGGGGAAGGGATTGTGACATGGCCATCCCCTGGTGGGGGGTGATTTCTCACTTTTCCTCTCACTGTCTTTCTCTGTCTCTCTCTAGTGAGCACACATGCCCTATGGGGGAAAAATTTACAAAAATAAAAATAAAGAGTTTATGTAGTTATTTCCTCTGAGAGTGAGAGAGAGAGAGAGAGATAAAGAGAAAAAGAAAGAGAAAGAGAAAGAAAGCTAGACATTCCTAATAGGCTCTCTGTGCCACAATCTACCCCCAGCCTTAGCCAGCCAGGACCGTGGACATATGTGCACATACTTAGCACGTACAGGGAGACCTCAGGATACAAATGAGAGACCCTTCCATGTGGCCTCGCTATCATGGAGCACAGTGTCACTGCTGTGCCTCCCTGGCTGGCCTCCCATGGAAACTTGTTCTAGTCTCCTCCTGCTTTCCTATACAATAATCCTTTTATGCCTTTCCCCTGATGCAGAAGTTCCTGAAAAGAAAAAAGGATGCTTCAGGCGGGCCTATGACCTGTTCTGTGGACTAGACCAGCAGAAAGGACCCAAGATGACCAAGGAAGAGGAGGAAGCCATGAAGATGGCGATGACAGACACCTCTGAGAAGCCTTTGTGGAGGATGGTCGTGAACATCAATGGCATTATCTTGCTGGCTGTGGCTGTCTTCTGCCATGCATATTTTGCCTGAGTCCTGCCTGCTGCTGCAGACACACCAAAGCTGGAACCTTTGCTCGATTTCCCTTTGGTCCCATTCTGCGGTGTTGAAGGGAGACCAGTCAGTTGTAAAATTTACCCAGTCATATAAATGTATATATGTGTAATTATAGGCCGGCCGGAGAAGAATCATTAATTTGCTGTTAACTTATGTATTTGAAGCCAGTGTGTTACCATCCTCTGTATACATGGGAGCTGCAGGAGGGAAGTCCACTTAGTCATATCTAGAAAAAGCCAGAGTAAGAGACAGAAGCCCTGTGATGTCTGGTGCTAGTGTGTCAGGTAGATTCAGCTAGTCAACGTTTAAAGTCTCTGAATATTTTAAGAGTTCTGGTCTCCCTGGTTCCTGCCATTTTCCCTCTTTGACCACCTCCTCCTCACTTGAAAAAAGAAAACAATTCCCCCTTCCTCCCTTATCACATCCCTCTCATGTATTTCCTCAAACCAGAAAGCATAATCTGATAAACCAATGAATGCATTGAAGGAGAGGACTGGAACTTGATGGGGTCCCTGTCACAAATATTTTCTCCTTGAAGTGGCAGCCTGGGGAAGGTAGTACTTACCTGAAAGGAAGAGACCCAAGCATCAGTCTCAGAGTGGCAAGGGAAACAGATAATCTTGGGTTTAGGGGACTTTCTGGTCCTTTTATTTTTTTTTGTAATGTCTATTGAGTTTCCTGTGTTTGGGATTTCACCCCTTTTGTCATTCACTGTTCCTGAAATGTCTTAACTACCCAGCAACGTGTGTTGCTAAATGAATGATATAGACATTTATTTATAACTGTTTGCTTTGTTTTTCTGTAAGGCTGGCGGTTGTTCAGTTTTTGTTGTGGTTGTACAAAGCACACCCTCTGGTGATGCTAACGCATTTGCCAGGGGCCACTTTGCCTCATTTGCTTATATTGACACATGGGCTTAGAGGATGGCACTGCCTCTAGTGATAGAGCAAAGGGCCCTGCTGGTGTTATCCATCATCTCAAAGCAGCCGTACCCTCCTGGAAGACACTGAAATGATTGATCTTAGCTCCTCTTCCCCGTTTTTAGGCATCTCGATCGATGATCATCTGGTGATCATCGATTGATTGTTCCGGGTGATAGTGGCCAACACTGCTAGCTCCGAGGAGTGTATTTCTTGTTAAAATGTCTCCTAGTGTGTAATTCTTTCCTTTACATTGAAATTTAACTAATTACTTCTTTTAGCTCTACAGGGGAAATCTCAATGGCCTTGCAATATAGTACCACTGAAGTTTAGGGAAAGTCAGCCTGTTGGTATTGATTGATTTCAGGAAAGCTTGGAAAATAATGGAGAATTGTTCCTGCGTAGAAAACTGGTTTGACAGGTAAAGGGACGGCCTATTCTTATAGAAGGAGGGAGACCCAGAGAGCAGTATTTGAAGAGCTTCTTGTTCTCCTTTAAGCTAGGCAGAGTAGTGAGAAAAGTGGAGTGTTCCCGATGGCTAGTACTACTCAGAGGATGCAGTCTTGTGTGCAGTGCGTGGTACATTTTGTGCTTTGAGAGGAAAAGATAAAATGCCAGTGGATGAAGTAGGCAGTGTAAGTATCTGGTTGTCCTGGATTTTGGTTCCCAACATTGCCCGCGATTTACTGTGTATATTGTGGTAAATTAATTTTGTCTCAACGGTGTATTTTTCTCTTTGAAAAATGAGGACCTTGGTGCTTATAGCATCTTCCTACCTCTTGTGGTTGTGACGAGGACATTTTGAAAAGGAGACAGAGAAATACGTGAAAGGTGCCATATTAAGCTGCAATATAGTTCCGTAAATTAAAATGTATTACTTTGATAACAATAAAAATGTTTTAAAATGCTAACATCTAGAGAGTCTAGATATATACTGAACATGTCTGTGCTGAGCTTCAGTTACCATAAGATGCGGACTCAAAAGCAAGAGTCCAGGAGAGTTGAGTGTAGAATCTAGCGACATAAACAAGTCTTTTAAAAAGTACCTAAATTTGGAGATTTTCACCTACAGAATCACAAGAAAACATGAGACGAATCACTCTACCTGTTTAATGTACCATTATAATAGGCTGAGCCCCTTGGATAACCAAGGATCAGTAAATGAGACGTGGAACTAGACTAATTTTAAGGGTACAGGGAAGAGCTGTTCTTTTCCTTCAAGATGAAGATGGGTTTCGTACATAGAGCAAAATGACTGTTTATTAATGCTTGACTTATAGAAGTGAAAAGTCCAAACATACAAGTCAACATGCGAGTCAAAACGTACAAAAGGCTGCCTAAAGGAAATTCCGGGGAATTTTTTGGGAGGAAATTAGGACATTTGAACACAATCATATGTACTGAGTTTAGAAAGCAATGTGCATGCCCAGGGCAAGATATAGGTACAGAAAAGACCTGAGCTCATGCTAAGCTTTCTCCCTCTGGTTGTCCTGGATTTTGGTTCCCAACATTGCCCGCGATTTACTGTGTATATTGTGGTAAATTAATTTTGTCTCAACGGTGTATTTTTCTCTTTGAAAAATGAGGACCTTGGTGCTTATAGCATCTTCCTACCTCTTGTGGTTGTGACGAGGACATTTTGAAAAGGAGACAGAGAAATACGTGAAAGGTGCCATATTAAGCTGCAATATAGTTCCGTAAATTAAAATGTATTACTTTGATAACAATAAAAATGTTTTAAAATGCTAACATCTAGAGAGTCTAGATATATACTGAACATGTCTGTGCTGAGCTTCAGTTACCATAAGATGCGGACTCAAAAGCAAGAGTCCAGGAGAGTTGAGTGTAGAATCTAGCGACATAAACAAGTCTTTTAAAAAGTACCTAAATTTGGAGATTTTCACCTACAGAATCACAAGAAAACATGAGACGAATCACTCTACCTGTTTAATGTACCATTATAATAGGCTGAGCCCCTTGGATAACCAAGGATCAGTAAATGAGACGTGGAACTAGACTAATTTTAAGGGTACAGGGAAGAGCTGTTCTTTTCCTTCAAGATGAAGATGGGTTTCGTACATAGAGCAAAATGACTGTTTATTAATGCTTGACTTATAGAAGTGAAAAGTCCAAACATACAAGTCAACATGCGAGTCAAAACGTACAAAAGGCTGCCTAAAGGAAATTCCGGGGAATTTTTTGGGAGGAAATTAGGACATTTGAACACAATCATATGTACTGAGTAGTTTAGAAAGCAATGTGCATGCCCAGGGCAAGATATAGGTACAGAAAAGACCTGAGCTCACGCTAAGCTTTCTCCCTGGTTTGATTTATAGGCTCAGTGCAAGCCTGGCTAAGAGGTGAAGGAGACCCCAGTAGAGGTGATTGCAATGACTGAGAGTGCTCGGACACTCAAGGAAATGTTTGCCAAAACCCTAGCTGGACATAAGCTAAGGAGCAGAGACACTAGTGACTACAGTGACAAGAAATATAGTTCTTACAGTAATAGTTGGCAAAGTCATTAAACAAATGGATGACTATAACCTTCAGTAACCAATGAGAGAATAAACACTAGGGAAGGGGGCAGGATATGATTTCCAGAGTTATCACACTATAATAGTCAAATGTCTAGTTTTTGTCAAAAGCTCAGAAGGCACATGAAGAAACAGGAAGATACAGTCCATTTAAAGAAAAAAATGGATAGAAACTATCTCTGTTTAAGCTCATATAATGGAATTATAGACAAAGACTTTGAGACAACTGCTTTAAACATGATCAAAGAGCTAAAGGAACACATGGACAAAATAGTGAAGAAATTAGAAACATGATATATTAACAATATGGGAATATTAATAAAGAGATAGGAATGGTAAGGAGCCAAACAGAAATTCTGGAGTGAAAAATGACAATAACCAAAAATTTACCAGAGGAGTTCAACAGCAAACTGGGGCAGAAAAAAGAATGGCCAGTTTGAAGGTAGAGTAATTGAAAGATCACATCTGAGAGCCAGAAAGAAAAAATAAAGGAAAAAAGTGAAAGAGCCCAAGCGGACTCTGTCAAGTGGAGAGACATACATATTATGAGAGTCCCAGAGCAGAGCCAACTCTGAGGCCTGGTAGTTAAGGGAGGCAGATCCCACATAGCTGACCATGTGGTTCAAGTCCTGGCCCCAGATGCTTGAAAATCAGTTTGGGCCTGTGAGACAGGGTAGAGAAATGGAGGACAAGGGATTGCAGCATGCCCATGTCCATTAGGGGTTCTTTCTCCCTCTTCTTTCTGTATCTCTTTCGTAAATGCACATACCCTCTGGGGGAAAAATATCCCAGAGGGGAAGATATAGGGAAAGGAATAGAAAGAATATTTAAAGAAATTATAAATGAAAACTTTCCAGTTTTGACGACAGACACAAATCTACAAATCCAAAAAGCTGAATGAACTCCAAGTAGGATTAGACTCAAAGAGACTCATACTGGGACCACCAGATGGCATAGTGGTTATGTTGCATGACTCCTACATGGTCGACCACGGTTCAAATCCCGGACCCAGCAGCTTGAAATTCACACCAGATGTGTGTGTGTGTGTCTAAAATCCAGAGAGGAGAATGGAGGACATGGGATTGCAGGATGGCCATTCCTCCTGGGGATAATTTCTCACTTTCTGTCTCTCTGGCAATTGCAAGCAAGCATCCTATAGCAAAAATCTCAAAAAAAAAAAAAAAAAAAAGAAAAGAAAAAAGAGAGAGAGAGAGACTCATACCAAGGTCTCTTATAATCAAACTGTTGAGAACCAAAGACAGAATCTTGAAGGCAGCAAAAGAGATGTGACATGTCACACGTAGGTGACCCTAAATAAAACAGCCAATTTCTTATCAGGAAGCATGGAGGCCAGAAGACATTGCAATGATATATTTAAAATGCTGAAAGGGAAAAAAAAATCTCTTGATAGGGGCCAGCAGGTGGTGTGGTGATTAAGGCAGCTGGATCCCACATGATTGATGCCAAGGTTTGAGTCCTGGACCTGGTGGCTTGAAAAACACTCTGGGTACTTGTGCGTACAAGCCCAAAATCCTAAGAGGAGAACAGAGGAAAAGAGATCGCAGTGTGGTTATCTCTCCTGGGGGCCGATTTCTCATTTTCCCTCTCTGTTTCTATCTGGCAAGCACACATGCCCTATGGCAAAAATTAAAACAAACAGGACCAGCAGGTGGTGTGGTGGTTAAGGCGCTGGACACTCCCACATGGCCGACCAGGGTTCAAGTCCTGAATCTGGTGGCTTACTTTCTCACTTCCTCTCTTTCTCACTGTTACCCTCTGTCTCTCTCTGGTCAAACTAAAAAAATAAATGAATGAATAAATAAAATAAAATAAATAATTATAAACAAAATTAAAACAAACAAAACACCCTTGGTGATCAAGATTTCAGTAGCCAACAAAAATATCCTTCAAAAATAAGGGAGAGGGCTGATTTCATGACACAGTAGTAAGAAAAGCCAGAACCCACATAGTGAATGTGGTTCAAGTTCCCAACCTGATCAGCCTGAAACCCGCTGGGCATGCACGTGAGTGCCCAGAATCCAACAGGCAGGAGGGCTGGAGGAAGAAGATGGCGGTGTGACCAGCCCCTGTGGCGGGTGCTCAACCTTCCCTCTCTCTAACATGTGTGCACATGCATTTTATCATAAGAAGAGAGAAAAAAAAATTGTTTTTTTTACTTTTTTTTTTTTTTGGAGAGGTTTTCGCGATAGGGCGCATGCGCTCGCCAGACAGAGAGAGAGAGAGAGACATAGAGACAGAGAGCGAGAAATCACCCCCCAGGGGGGATGGTCACGCCGCAATCCCTTCTCCTCCATTCTCCTCTCGGGATCTTGGGCACGCACGCACACGCACCCGGCGTGAGTTCTAAGTCACCAGGTCCGGGACACGAACCGCGGTCGACTACGTGGGAGTCCAAACTGCTGGTTCCCCCCGCCCCAAATTTTTTTAAATAGAAGAGTCATCAAGACATTCTCAGATAAAAATACTGAAGGAGTTTGTCAGCACTCTATCTGTCCTGCAAGCAATGCTAGCAGGAGCCCTTCGGGTTAAAATGAAAGACACTAGATAACTCAAAACCAAATGAAGAAAGAGCTCCAATTATCTTAGTCCACCTGGGCTGCCATAACACCATAAAATGAATAACTTAATTCATATATTTTTCATAGTCCTGGAGTCTAGGAGGTCAAAGATAGAGGCGCTGGCAGATTCAGTATCTGGTACAGGGCCTGTTTTCTCACAGATGGCACCTTCTTTCTGTGTTTTCAAAAGGAGTCAAATGAGCTCCGTTGGGCCCATTTTACAAGAGCCCTAACCCCATTCAGGAGGACTCTGTCCTCATGACCTAGTAACTTCCTAAAACCATCACTTTGTTGGTTAGAATGTCAACAGATGTGGGTCTGGCAGGTGGCATGGTGGTTAAGGGCACTGGACTCCCACATGGCCAACCGCAGTTCCAGTCCCGAACCTGGCAACTTGCTTTCTCTCTTTCTCTCTCTCACTCTGTCTCTCTCTAGCCAAACTCAAATAAGTAAATAAATAAATTTAAGATAAAAACTAATTATTAAAAAAAAGAATTTTTCTTTTTTCGAGAGGTTTTTGCTATAGGGCACATGCACTTGTCAGAAAGACAGTGAGAGTCAGAGAGACAGAAAGTGAGAAGTCGACCCCTGGGGGGATGGCCACACTGCAATCCCTTCTCCTCCATTTTCTCTGGATTTTGGGCATGCACGCACATGCACCTGGCATGAGTTTAAGCCGCTGGGTCCAGGACTTGAACCACAGTTGACTACATGGGAGTCCAGCGACATAGCCATTATGCTAACTGCTGGTTCCCCCAATTTTTTTTTAAAAAAGGCAAAATTACAAAAAAAAAAGAGAAGACAGAGACAGAGGTAGAGAGAGACAAAGACAGCGGCAGAGGCAGAGAGAATGTTTGAGGGGGATCCTGAAATCACTAGTACTCAGGAGCCATGAAGGTGTCTTCTCGGGGGGTGGTATTTCTTGCTTGCTGTCTCTCTCTGTCTCTCTGGCAAGCACATGTATCCTACAGAAAAAAAATCTTTCTTTTAAAAAACTACCAAATATTTATAGATGAATTAACATCAATAGTTCTCAAACTCATCCAGAGAATAGAAGAGGAAACCTTCCTAAATCATTTTATGAAATCAGCATTACTGTGGGTGTAAGATAACACACAAAAATCAACCATGCTTCTATATACATGCAATAGTTTGAAAAAAATTAGAAAATAATTTTATTTATAATAGTATCTAGAAGAATAAAATACCTAGCATTAATTTCTTCTTTTTAAAATAATTATTTTATTAAGCTTATTTATTATTATTATTTTTAATTTGACCAGAGAAAGACAGAGAGAGAGAGGGGGAAAGTGAAAAAGCAAGTTGCCTCGTCCAGGACTTGAACCACGGTTGGCCATGTGGGAGTCCAGCACTTTAACCATCTGCCAGCCTCAGCATTATTATTTTTTTATGTCAGAGGGTACATGTGTGCCTGTAGTCCCATTTATAGTATTCTTCTCTTATGCATAATGTTTTTTGTCTTTTCTCTGAAGAGATTGTCTAAGTACTCAAAGATGTTCTTTAAATATAGTTTTTCGGGACCAGCAGTTAGCGTAATGGCTATGTTGCTGGACTCTCACGTAGTTGACCGTGGTTCGTGTCCAGGACCCGGTGGCTTAAAACTCACGCCAGGTGCATGTGCGTGCGTGCCCAAGATCCTGAGAGGAGAATGGAGGAGAAGGGATTGTGGCGTGACCATCCCCCCTGGGGGGTGGTTCCTCGCTTTCTGTCTCTCTGTCTCTCTCTGTCTGTCTGGCGAGTGCACACCCCCTATAGCAAAAACCTCTCAAAAAAAATAAATATAGTTTTTCTTTCTTTCTTTCTTTTTTCTTTTCTTTTCTTTTTTTTTTTTTTTAGAGGTTTTTGCTACAGGGGGATGACCACATCACAATCCCTTCTCTATTCTCCTCTTGGGATTTTGATCACCTATGCACATGTGCCTGGTGTGCGTTTGAAGCCATTGGGTCTGAGACTCGAACTGATGGCCATGTGGGAGTCCAGTGGCATAACCATTATGCCATCTGCTGGTTCTGAAAACTTAAAAATTTCTTAACGGTTTTACATTAGCAGTGCTTCATGAGGAATAGGGCCAGCCCATGGTGTGGTGGTTGGGGTGGCTGGATCCCACATAGTCAACTGTGCAGTTTTGAGTCCTGGATCCGGTAGCTTGAAGACATAGAGAAGAGATTGCAGTGTGGTCATCTCCCACCCCAGGAAGGGGGGCATGCTTTTTTACTCCCTTCCCACATCCCATTCTTGTTGCTCCAGTAAGTGCATGTGCCCTACAGAAAACTTTTTTAAAAATGAAGAATAAAACAAATATCATGCATCAAAGGAAGAAATATCTTGGCATAATTTGCAAATGTGCTTCCTTGCAAATATGATTATTGGTTGTGATTGATTACATGCTAGATTTCAAGAGTTATACTGCATGCAGGGAAGCCCAGATTCATTTCAACAATCAGGATTATTTGCCTCTTCCTCACTTACTTATGGGAGTTTTCTTTCACATGTGTTGTATCTTTTAGACTCTATATTTTAGTTTTTCTTTCACTACCTTTTGGGTATAAAATTGCAACAATTGCAGTTTGAAGCTTTCCTGTTTTGTTTAAGAATATTTCCCATGATAAACCACTGGATAGAAAGTATCTAAAGGTTATAATCATTCAATTTACTGAAGTAAAAATATACGATTAACTAGAACTCTAGTGAAACTTTTTACCAATAAAATCTGTCCCTCTGGCGAGTACACATGCCCTCTAGCAAAAATCTCTCTCTCTCTCAAAAAAAAAAAAATCCTGTGTTGTGTATTTGACAAAGCAGCAAGTTTCAGTGCTGCAGAATCTACAAGGGAACAGGACCATTCGTTCCCTGTTACCGGTAGAAATGTGACTTGCTTCATTTTTTTAGAAAGTAATGTCAATATCTATTAAAAGTATAAGTGAACACATCCATGGCTCAGTTATACTATTTCTAGGATTCTATCCTATTGAACTAAATCATGAGAATTTATGCATAAAGGCGATTGTGGTAACATTATTTGTGATGGCAAAAACACCCTAAAAAAGGGAAAGTGCTAAAGAAATAAAAAATATCTAATATTATAATGATTAGGTAGGAATTGCAATGAATATATTTGACCTACATTAATTAGGCTTAGCGATGTTCACCATGTACTATAAAGAGAGAAAAATTTCAAAAAAAAAATGTAGATTTCTTTAAAACACAAGGCAAAGAAAACAAAACTCCTGAAAGACAAACCACTGAAAGACTGTCACAAGACCCAGAAACCAGGGAAAAGATGAAACAATTTGACTTCATAAAAATCAAAGCTTCTGTACAACAAATGACTAGACAAAGCTGAAGGGCGAGACACAGGGCTGGCCCGAAGTACAGTTGTTAAACACTGCATAGGGAGCCAGCTCCCACATGGCGATCTGTGGTTCAAGTCCCAGCCCTAGCAATTTGAAACACATAGTGGGGGGAGGGAACAGGTGGCATGGTGGTTAAGGCACTGGACTCTCACAGTGAGAATGGTTTGAGTCCTGGAGATTGTAGTGTGACCAGGCCCAATTGAGGGGGGGGTTTCTCTCTCTCTTTCTCTTTTTGGCATATGCATGCACTCTCTGGTAATTAAAAAAAGGAAGAAAAAGAAAAGCAAGATACAGACCTAAAAAACTTTTGGGCTAACCCTGATGACTAGTGATTAAGGGAGTTAGATCCCAACTGTGATTCAAATCCTGGCCCCTGCTGCTCGAAAAATATGTGAGCTGTGTGTGCATGCATGACCCAATCCTGATAGAATGTGAATGAAGAAGGGATTGTGGCATGACTATACTCCATTGGGGGGTACTTTCTCCCTTTCCCTCTGTGTCTCTGGCAAGTGCACTCTCCCTCTGATGATAAAAGCAACTACAGCAAAAACCTTTTGCTGTTCATATGTAAATAATACACAGACTGTATAATATCTATACATGAATGATAAAACTGTTAAAAGATGTAAAGAATTTCATGGAAGAAAAATAAAAATATCTAATAAGTATATGTAAATACATGTAATTTTATTAATCTAAAAAGGAAACTATTTTATAGTTATCAAATTGACAAAAATTAAGTCTATAAGAATGTGAATAAATGAGTCTCATACACTGTTGGTGAAAATATAAATTGGTGAATCTGTTTCAGAACACAAACATTTGATTTCTTATCAAAATATTAAATGCTCATACCATTTGCTCCAGTATTCTATTTCTAGGAATGAATCATAAAAGAAAATAACGCTAGCTAATGTGCCAAATAATACACAAATATGTCCAATTGAATACTGTTTTTGGGGAGAGGTTTTTGCTATAGGGTGAGTGCGCTCACCAGAAAGAGACAGAGACAGAAAGTGAGAAATCACCCCCCAGGGGGGATGGCCACACCCCATATAGGGTGAGTGCGCTAGCCAGAAAGAGACAGAGACAGAAAGTGAGAAATCACCCCCCCAGGGAATATGGCCACACCGCAATCCCTTCTCCTCCATTCTCCTCTCAGGATCTTGGGCATGTACTCACACACGTTCGGCGTGAGTTCAAGCCACCGGGTCTGGGAATCGAACCGCAGTCGACTACATGGGAGTTCAGCAACATAGCCATTACACTAACTGCTCGTCCCTCCAGTTGAATACTGTTGACAATAGGAAACAATTGAAACCAACGTGAATATTCTTCAGTGGAAAAGTAACCCAACTATAATAAATCATCCTATGGAACAATGATACAACACTATTAAAAAGAATGAGAGAGACTGATATGTATTAGTAAACAAAAGATCTTTGGGATATATTATATGTGAAAAAGTCCATCATGAAATAATACATAAAGCAAGAGTATAGAAATACTTATAGATCTGAAATGTAATAGGGTGACTATGATTAATAATCCTGTACTGTGGGACCAGCAATTGTATAGTGGTTACATCACTGGACTCCCACATAGTTGACTGCGGTTTGAGTCCTGACCTGGCGACTTAAAACTCATGCCAGGTGCATGTGCGTGCATGCCCAAAATCCCTAGAGGAGAATGGGTGAGAAGGGATTGCAGTGTGGCCTTCTCTCCTAGGTGGTGAATTCTTGCTTTCCATCTCTCTGTCTCTCTCTGTCCCTCTGGCGAGTACACATGCCCTCTAGCAAAAATCTCTCTCTCTCTCTCAAAAAAAGAAATCCTGTGTTGTGTATTTGAAATTTGCTAAGAGTAGATCTTAAGTATTCTTACCACTCATACACACAAAGAAGACAATCAAATGAGGTGATAAATGTGCTAAGTAACTTGATTAGGGTTATCATTTCAGATGTATACACGTATCTAATGATAATGTCATACACCTTACATACATACAATTTCTATTTGTTGCTTACATTCCAATAAAGCTAGAAAAAATAATTTAAACCTATGGTCTTAGTTTGGACACATATGAAGTTGCTTTGCTAGTTTTATAAATTAACTTTTTTGTTTATTGATACAAAGGGATGGCAAAAGCGAAGCTTTCGAGTCTATTGACATCTCATTAGATAAAATTACCAGCTGCTCGTCTCCCTTTTGCAACCCAGAGAACTGTAAAATTAAAATCAATAAAATTATCCTTGGCTTCAAATATATTGCAGTGGTTTAGATAGAGTTCAGGCAAAATAACCATAAACAAAGACCACCACAGCCAAGAGGATGATGGCATTGATGTTCACTACATTCCTCCACAAGGGCTTCTCTGAGGTGTCCGTCATCTTCTTTCTTAGGGCTTCCTCCTCCTCTTTGGTCAGTTTGGGCCCTGTCTTTTGCAAACCACAGAATAAATCATAACTCTTCTTGAGACATCCGCGAGAGTGCTCAGGATGATCTGAAAAAAAGAAAGATCATCCCGAAAGATGGCAAATAGAAATATGTGTCAGTGTAGGACAGATCATTGCAAAGAATGATTAAAACCACTTGATGGTGTACCCATACCCCCAAGAGTGGTCTTTGGGACTTGTGGTATTCCTTCAACATAGACCATACCAACAATAAGAATAAAAAAAAAATAACCAAAAAAAAAAAGAGGAAAAAAAGTGGATATTATGTGGGAAATTGTAGACACCATGAAATGCCCAAATGTCCATATAATGGGTGTCCTAGAAGGTGAAGAAGCTAGTAAAGGGATGAAAAAATCTCTTTCATAAAATACTCAGAACTTTCCAAGTTCTGGATTGTCTTGTGCACTAAAACAGGCAGGTAGATCAGTGGAACAGAATTGAGAACCCAAAATAAATCCCCCCAAATACAACCAACTGATCTTTGATGAGGGGCAAAAGATAATCCAGTGGGGAAAAGAAAATTTCTTCAGCAAATGGTGCTAGGAAAACTGGATATCCACCTGCAGAAGAGTGAACCTGGACCTGTATCTCTCACCACTAACAAAAATCAACTCAAAATGGAGTAAGGCTCTAAACATAAAACCTCAAACTATAAAACGACTGGTAGAAAGCACAGTGAAAATTCTTGGAGGCCTTGGAGTAGGCAAAGACTTCTTTTTCTTCTTCTTCTTTTTAAAAAATATTTATTTAATTTTATTTATTCATTCATTTTATTTTTTTAACTTGACCAGAGAGAGAGACACACACACACACAGAGGAGGAAAGTGAAAAAGCAAGCCACCAGGTCTGGGACTCAAACTGTGGTTGGTCATGTGGGAATGTTCAGTGCCTTAACTATCATGCCACCTGCTGGCCCCAGGTAGCCACCGGGTCTGGGAATCGAACCGCAGTCGACTACATGGGAGTTCAGCAACATAGCCATTACACTAACTGCTCGTCCCTCCAGTTGAATACTGTTGACAATAGGAAACAATTGAAACCAACGTGAATATTCTTCAGTGGAAAAGTAACCCAACTATAATAAATCATCCTATGGAACAATGATACAACACTATTAAAAAGAATGAGAGAGACTGATATGTATTAGTAAACAAAAGATCTTTGGGATATATTATATGTGAAAAAGTCCATCATGAAATAATACATAAAGCAAGAGTATAGAAATACTTATAGATCTGAAATGTAATAGGGTGACTATGATTAATAATCCTGTACTGTGGGACCAGCAATTGTATAGTGGTTACATCACTGGACTCCCACATAGTTGACTGCGGTTTGAGTCCTGACCTGGCGACTTAAAACTCATGCCAGGTGCATGTGCGTGCATGCCCAAAATCCCTAGAGGAGAATGGGTGAGAAGGGATTGCAGTGTGGCCTTCTCTCCTAGGTGGTGAATTCTTGCTTTCCATCTCTCTGTCTCTCTCTGTCCCTCTGGCGAGTACACATGCCCTCTAGCAAAAATCTCTCTCTCTCTCTCAAAAAAAGAAATCCTGTGTTGTGTATTTGAAATTTGCTAAGAGTAGATCTTAAGTATTCTTACCACTCATACACACAAAGAAGACAATCAAATGAGGTGATAAATGTGCTAAGTAACTTGATTAGGGTTATCATTTCAGATGTATACACGTATCTAATGATAATGTCATACACCTTACATACATACAATTTCTATTTGTTGCTTACATTCCAATAAAGCTAGAAAAAATAATTTAAACCTATGGTCTTAGTTTGGACACATATGAAGTTGCTTTGCTAGTTTTATAAATTAACTTTTTTGTTTATTGATACAAAGGGATGGCAAAAGCGAAGCTTTCGAGTCTATTGACATCTCATTAGATAAAATTACCAGCTGCTCGTCTCCCTTTTGCAACCCAGAGAACTGTAAAATTAAAATCAATAAAATTATCCTTGGCTTCAAATATATTGCAGTGGTTTAGATAGAGTTCAGGCAAAATAACCATAAACAAAGACCACCACAGCCAAGAGGATGATGGCATTGATGTTCACTACATTCCTCCACAAGGGCTTCTCTGAGGTGTCCGTCATCTTCTTTCTTAGGGCTTCCTCCTCCTCTTTGGTCAGTTTGGGCCCTGTCTTTTGCAAACCACAGAATAAATCATAACTCTTCTTGAGACATCCGCGAGAGTGCTCAGGATGATCTGAAAAAAAGAAAGATCATCCCGAAAGATGGCAAATAGAAATATGTGTCAGTGTAGGACAGATCATTGCAAAGAATGATTAAAACCACTTGATGGTGTACCCATACCCCCAAGAGTGGTCTTTGGGACTTGTGGTATTCCTTCAACATAGACCATACCAACAATAAGAATAAAAAAAAAATAACCAAAAAAAAAAAGAGGAAAAAAAGTGGATATTATGTGGGAAATTGTAGACACCATGAAATGCCCAAATGTCCATATAATGGGTGTCCTAGAAGGTGAAGAAGCTAGTAAAGGGATGAAAAAATCTCTTTCATAAAATACTCAGAACTTTCCAAGTTCTGGATTGTCTTGTGCACTAAAACAGGCAGGTAGATCAGTGGAACAGAATTGAGAACCCAAAATAAATCCCCCCAAATACAACCAACTGATCTTTGATGAGGGGCAAAAGACAATCCAGTGGGGAAAAGAAAATTTCTTCAGCAAATGGTGCTAGGAAAACTGGATATCCACCTGCAGAAGAGTGAACCTGGACCTGTATCTCTCACCACTAACAAAAATCAACTCAAAATGGAGTAAGGCTCTAAACATAAAACCTCAAACTATAAAACGACTGGTAGAAAGCACAGTGAAAATTCTTGGAGGCCTTGGAGTAGGCAAAGACTTCTTTTTCTTCTTCTTCTTTTTAAAAAATATTTATTTAATTTTATTTATTCATTCATTTTATTTTTTTAACTTGACCAGAGAGAGAGACACACACACACACAGAGGAGGAAAGTGAAAAAGCAAGCCACCAGGTCTGGGACTCAAACTGTGGTTGGTCATGTGGGAATGTTCAGTGCCTTAACTATCATTCACTATCATGCCAGCTGCTGGCCCCAGGTAAAGACTTCTTAACAAAGACCTCCAAAGCACAGGAAATAGTCCCCAAAATAGACAAGTGGAACTACATTAAGTTAAAAAGGTTCTGCACAGCTAAAGAAACAATAAGTAGAGTGAGGAGACAACCCTCAAAGGAGAGTATTTATTTGCAAACTATACCTCAGATGAGGAACTGAGCCAGAATATAAAGGGAACTCAAGTAACTTATCCACACACACACACAAAAAATCCAATTAAAAGATGGGAAAATGAACTGAACAGACGACTCTCCCAAGGAAGACATATGAATAGTCAAAAAGCATATGAAAACATGCTTGATATTTCTTATCATAAGGGAAATGCAAATTAAAACTACAAGAGATAGTAATTAACCCCAATCAGAATGGCTAAAATGAAAAAAAATAAAGAATAGTAATGCTGGCAAGGCTGCAGTGAAAAGGGAACTCTCCTACTCTGCTGGTGGTGATGTAAATTAGTACCACCACTGTGGAGAATGACATGCAGAGTCCTCAGAAACCTACAAATAGATCTACCATACTACACAGTAATCCCACTCTTAGGCATTTACTCAAAGGAAAACCCTCAGTCAGGAAAATACTTGCACATCCATGTTTATCACAGATTTATTTACAATTGCTGGAACATGGAATCAACCCAAATGTCCAAAAATAGACTACTGGATTGAAAAAATGTGGCATATATACTCTAGGAAATACTACTAAGCCATAAAAAACAATGAAGCTCTGACATTTGATACAAAGTAGATGAATATGAAAGATCTAATGCCAAGTGAGGCAAATCAGACTATGAAAGACAGACTCTGCCAATATACACTGCCCGTCTGTGTTCTATAGCAGAAACTGAAAGGCTGGAAGGTATAACAGCAGGGAGGGCAACCGTAGATGCTAGAGAGAGGAAGGGGGCTAGCAGGGGGTGGGTAATATGGGAAGGGAGGGAGGGAAACAGAAAAAACAAACAATATGTTTCACTGACACAAAAATAAAAAGTTACTAGCTGATGGTAACGTATGTGGTAATGACTTGGTCTTGACTGATATGCCCTGTATTTGTGCTGGGAAAAACCACGTTGCCCACTGTAAAGATGTATAGTGATCTAATGTAAATAATAAATTAGAAAAAATATGTATACACCCAGCCCTTGTTAGAGAAATTCCTGAGATGATACAATTAAGTTTGCTAATAAAAAAATAGAAGGGCTGGCTCCATGACCTGATGGTGAAGGCAGCTGATTCTACATGACTGACTATGCGGTTGGGTGGTTGGTGTCCTGGACCTGGAGGCTTGAGAAATATGCTGGGTGCCCATGTGTGCATGCCCCAAATCCCAAGAAAGTGGAGAAATGGGGGAGAAGGGACTGTGGCATGACCATTCCTTACAGGGGGGAGTGTTTTCTCTTCTCCCCCTCTTTCTGTCTCTTGTGAGTGCACATGCCCTTTAGCCAAAAATAAGACAAAAACAAACACAATAGAACCTTTGCATGGCAGAAAGTCCAACAAAGTCAAACAAGTGATGAAATGGGGAAGCATTTGCACGTTATATCACGAAGGGTTTAATATACTTAGTGGATAATAGATTTCCAAAAATAGAGGACAAAAAGACCACTAATAGCCCTGGGTAAAAATACAAGACAGATGGAGCCGGCACACAGCATGGAGGTTAATGCATGGCTGATTGCACGATTCAAGGCAGTTTGAAAAACATGCCAGGTGTGTGTGCATGTGTGCCCAAAATCCAAGAAGGGAATAGAAGAGAAAAGGCGTGGCCGTTCTCCTTAGGGGGTGATTTCTCACTTTCCCTCTCTCTTTCTCTGTCTCTCTCTCTAGCAAGTGCATGCACCCTATAGGAAAATAAATAATAAAATAAAAACAAAAATACAAGATAGATGAATAAATAGCTCAGAGAGAAAAGAATAATGGCTCTTAAGGTCACTCAAAAATAGAAATTTAAATGAAAACTATATTGAGATACCGCCTTTCATCTATCAGCAACAAAAATGCAAAAGTTTCATAATATACTATGTGGGTGACTCTGTATGGAAATGGACATGCTTATGCATTGTTGCCAGGAAAGCATGGTTCAATATCTACAGAGGACCCTTTTGAAAAAGCAATGTAATACACTGTAAAGTTATATGTAATCCAATGTAATATAAAGAAGATTATGATGATAATAAAAATTAAAAAAAATAAAAAAAATCTACAGAGGGGAATTGGGTATTATACAGCAAAATTGCTAGGTATTAACTCTTGGACCCAACTATCAAACTTCTTAAAATCTGTACCCAAAGTATACTGACAAGCTTATTTGTTGCAGTACTGGAAAATTTAAAGCATACTTTTAAATTCAAATGTCTATGAAAAATCATAATGAAAGAGACTATACATGCTTAGAAATAATTAATAATGAAAATTATGCACATCAAAAGCTGTGAGAGGGAACAAAAGTATTATTCTCTTAAAGATTTTTTTTTTTTTTTGCCATAGGTACATGTACTTGCTGGAGAGAGATAAAGACAGAGAAGGAAAGGGAGAAATCAACCTCCCCAGGGTGGGTAGCCATGCTGCAATCCCTTCTTCTCCATTCTCCTCTTGGGATTTGGGGCATGTATGCACATGTGCTTGGTGTGTTTTTCAAGCCTCTGGGTCCAGGCCTCGAGACATAGAGTCTGCCATGTGGTAGTCTAGCACCTTAACCATCACACAACCTGCTGGCTCATTATTACTTTGAGAGAAATGCATACATATGGCTTTAGATATCTTTTTTTTTTAAATGTGTGTGTGTATATCTTCTATTTTTTATTTTATTAAAAAATTTTTATTCATACATCAAATTGCTATACATCATTTAGATTGTGAAGACATTACCCAGCGTGATACACACCTCAGTCCAGCCCAGTTGAGACCCCCATACACATCCTTGTCAACAGATAATAAACCTTACCTGTGTCCCGCAAGTGTCTTAAATCTCCATTCCCCCCCAAATTCCTACACTCTTCCCCTCCCACACTGTATTTCTACTTTGTCTCTAGTGCCCATTACAATTTTTCATACTTTTATGTTCTAAAAAAAGAGAGGTTGGGATTAATGAAGTAATATGTAACTTCAATTAGAAAAAAACACAACAAAGTAATGATACAGAAAAGAAGTATTAAGTAATAGAAAAAAATAGCAAAAATCAAAAGTTGATTCTTTGAGAAAAGTAAACTAGACGAGTGCTTAGTAAGATTAACAAGAAAAAGGACAAGTCCTAAAGAATTACATCATTAATAGAAAAAAACATAGCCAGCGAAGCAGCAAAGATGGAAAAGACAGTGAGTAGATACCATGAATAACTTTATGCCAATATTTCTAAAATGTGTAATAAGTGGACACGTTTCTAGAAATACATAATTTTCCAAAACTGACTAACAAACAAATGGAAATGGAATAGTTCTGCAGCCACTATATACATTTAAAAAATTGCCAGAGGGGGTTTGTATTAGTCAGAGAGTGATAAAGAGAGAGAGAGAGAGTGGGAGGAGGATCTCCTTGGGGGCACGTCGGGCATGTCTATTTAACACCAAATAGGCAAAGACTGAGTGAAAAAAAAATAGGAAAATTATAGGCCAGCCATACTCAGGAAACTGATGTAAATCAAGAGAAATAAGAAGCATTGACCTGCTCTTCAGTTTGAAAAACCCAAGTCAAACAATTAGTGGGCAGTTAAGACAACATATTCTAAAGTGCTAAATCTTGATAGCGGTGATAAAAATACTAGGTTAACAGAGCCATGGGGATAGAGAAGTTTTCCTGTTGAGTGAGACAAGAATTGGCATTTTTTTCCCCTCTTGCAGAGAAGGTAGAAATATTCTAGGGAGCTTGGTGTATGTGGGGGAAAATGAAGGAAACCTGTCTCTCTGGAATGGAGGGTACGTTAGAGAGCATAGTAAGAGAGGGTTGGGGAGAAGGTGGCACTAGATGCTGGTCACAACCAATCAGGACTGAACAGCTAATGTAATTAGAAACAGGAGACTTTGTGATGGGTTATCCTCTCACTGGCCAGCATACTGTTTCATGGATGGATAAGCGATGGATAGAGTGATGGGCAGGCAGAAGGCTGGATGCATTTTCTACACAGCAAACTGGGTTGGTGACTGGGAAGGGAAGATTTTACAGCATTAGTTTGCCTTAAATCTGACATCTTTCTCAGAAGCTAAATTTAGTGGCATTTAAAAGAAGAATGCCTAGGTCCAGCCTGTGGCTTGGTGGTTAAGAACACTGGATTCTAGCTCTTCTCGTTAGCGGCCTGAGGTGATCTTTGAAAATGGTTCGCTATTCACTTGACCCAGAGAACCCCACAAAATCACGCAAGTCAAGAAGGTCAAATCTCCGTGTTCACTTTAAGAACACTCGTAAAACTGCCCAGGCCATCAAGGGTATGCATATTCAAAAAGCCACCAAATACCTGAAGGATGTCACTTTACAGAAGCAGAGTGTGCCATTCCGCCATTACAATGGTGGAGTTGGTAGATGTGCCCAGGCTACACAGTGGAGTTGGACACATGGTCAGTGGCCCAAAAAGAGTGCTGAATTTTTGCTGCACATGCTTAAAAATGCAGAGTCATGCTGAACTTAAGGGGTTAGATGTGGATTCTCTGGTCATGGAGTGCATTCAGGTGAACAAGGCACCAAAGACGCGCCGTCGTAAGTACAGGGCTCATGGGCGGATTCACCCATACATGAGCTCTCCCTGCCACAGCGAGATGATCCTCACTGAAAAGGAGCAAATTGTTCCTGAACCGGAGGAGGAAGTTGCACAGAAGAAAAAGATACCCCAGAAGAAACTGAAGAAACAAAAACTTATGGCATAAAGTCAGCATAAAGTAAATGTAGAGAAAAGTAAAAAACAAAACAAAAACAAAAAAACACAAAAAACCAACAAAAAGCAAACAAAAACCCCCACTGGATTCTATATGGCTGATCATGTGGTTTGAGTCCTGGATCTGATGGCTTGAAAAATGTCTCATTTCCCCATACCTGTGTGCCCACAGTCCTGAAAGGAGGGAGAAATGGAGAAGGGATGGCAGCATGGCCGTTCCTTGTGGGGAGTTCCTCCTTCTCTCCCTCTCTTCCTCTCTCTCTGGAGAGTGTACGTTTCCTCTGGGAAACAATCACTAAACCAAGCCAGGCACGCAGAGATCCTGCATGAAAATAAAATTAAAGTAGTTATTACCTTCTTTGGCATCATCGACTTCTTCCTGCCTTTCGTCTTCCGCGTCTAAATCAATCCGTTCCTCGGTACTGTCCCGGAGAGCCCAGCACAGGCGGTGCAGCTGCGAAGGTCACACCCAAATCCATTAGTGATGGGCAGACGGTCACAATAACGTGACGGCACCTGCATCTACTATGTGGTTTTTAAAAATGAGACTGCACAGGAGGGTGCAGATCACAAAGAAAGGTCTTCTGCCACGCTCACTCACCAAAACACACAAGCCATTTACAACGATTTCTGCTTCTAATTCTTCGGATATTCAGAACTCAAATAATATGCTTCAAATGTCTGTTTCTGGATTGAAGTCAGAAAAGGCGAAGATTTAGCTAACCTCCACTATGCTGCAGCTTCTCTCACTGTCCTTCTCTGGATGCTATTTATTGCATCTTTATTTGTTTGTTTACCTTTAGTTACTTTTATAACTTAAATATCTTCTGAAGTTCTGTTTCTAGACCCAGCGTGTTTAGATGGTATCTATGTACGAGTCTTAAAAGTTTCAGATGTAATTCCCTTAAACATCCCTTTCTGGAACCAGCAGATGGCATAATGGTTACATCACTGGACTCCCACATGGCTGGCTGTGGTTCAAGTCCTGGACCTGGCGGGTTGAAATTTATGCCAGGCATGTGTGCATGTGTGCCCAAAATCCCAGGAGAAGAATGGAGGAGAAGGGATTGCAGCGTGGCCATCCCCTTGCTCTGTGTGTGTGTGTGTGTGTGTGTGTGTGTGTGTGTGTGTGTGTTGATTTCTCACTTTCTGTCTTTCTGTCTCTGTCTCTCCAGCAAGTGCACACATTCTATAGCAAATATCTCTCTAATAAACATCCTTTCCTTGGGTACACCTCCAAATGTCTCTACTGTTCAATAGTTAGGTTTTAGAGAATTAGACTTGTTTTCTTTAAGTATAAATAAAATTTGCATGCTTAGTCTGTTCACTGATTTTAAAAATGTAAAAAGAAATAGCATTTACATTATTATTCAAAAATTTTTTTCAAACCAGGATCCAAGATAATGTGATTGACACAACAGATGAAGAGCAGACCTGGGTCATTCTCTCACGTGTCAATGGTTTTTAAATTTATAATCCATAATATTCTCAAAGTCATGTCTCATTTTATGTCAGCCTCTGACTTTCTTGTACACATTTACTGGAATTTGTAATTGGCTTTCTTATTTGTCACTAACATAAATGTATTTCACCTTATCATTGCGATTCTTAATTGTAGGTTCATAAGTTTTTATTTTTAGCATTTTTCACATTAAATCCACTTTCTTTGTTAAAATTCTCTTCTTGGGACTCCTTGAATTCCGGTTCTAACTTGGACTGAGGACTTTCTAGTCTTGCTGAAAAGCTATGATCATGGGGTATCTCAGTGCGACACTGCCAGGCCACCACGACACTGTTCATGTTTTTCTCTGAAATAACTATTACTATCTATCAGTCCATTTTGAAAGTTTGAATCTCACAACACATTAATAAAACATACATATGAATTAGGAAAATACTCTCACTGTTACTTCAGATATAAGTTTTTTCTAACTCATACTACTAATAATAAATTATGGTATTTCTATTGGCAAAAAAGAGTTTAACATATTTATTTCTTTGAAAATTATGAAATGCTTTCTAGTTGCTTTCATTTCACCTCCCAATATTCAACATAAATATTTATTTATGAATTTTGGTGGCATGTCTTTGGTCATATGCTTCAGGATTGTGATCCACGCATAACCTACTGCCTACTCCTGAAGGAAAGATATTTTTTGAAGCAATAAGTATTGGTTCAAAAGTTATGAGCGATAAATGCAAAACACATAAAAGCTTTACATGCTAGTCATAAATTCAAACACTATTAGTATATAAGTAGTGTTTATATTTAAAATTTTAAAATATCAATATGTGTTGGGTGCCTGTATTGCTCCTTCCCCACTCTCCAGACCCCAGAATATCCTTTGCTGAAAATTTCATATGGGTATGCTTTAAGATATTTTTGCTTAGACAAATATGCATACACACATTTCGTTTCAAAGAGTTATATTATATGAGACTATATTATTCTGCATATGTTTCCCCTGCACTTATCACTAAATCATATTAGGGACATTTTTCAAAGCAAAGACTAGAATTTACTCATGGTTTTTTTTTTTTTTTTGAGAGTTTTTTTCTATAGAGTGCGTGTGCTCGCCAGAAAGACAGAGAGAGACAGAGAGATAGAAAGTGAGAAATCACCCCCCAGGGAGAATGGCCACACCACAGCCCCTTCTCCTCCATTCTCCTCTCGGGATCTTGGGCATGCACGCACATACACCCGGCGTGAATTTAAGCCACTCGAGTCCGGGACTCGAACTGCGGTTGACTACACAGGAGCCCAGTGACATAGCCATTATGCCAACTGCTGTTCCTGCTTACTCATGTTTTTAAACAACTGCATAATATTCAGTGCACTACTATTCAGTACTTATTCCTTTAGTGATGAGAATTTGGATTGTCCCATTTTTTTTTATTAGAAAACTTTTGCAGAGAAAATACTTATTCATATTTTTTCATGCTTGGACAAGTATTAATATTTCTACATGATAAGGTCTTAGAACTAGACATTTTTTCTTTAAGTATAAATAAGATTTGTATGCTTAGTCTAAAATGAAATCGTGACTCAGGAAATACAGGAATTGTAAAACTAGGACCAGTCCTGGAGCCTACAGTGATGGGAGCTGGACCATACATGGCTGACCACAGTTTGACTCTCAGCCCCAGTGACTTGAAAAACATGCTGGCCGTGTGTGCAACCTCAAATCCCAACAGAATGGAGAGATGGAGGCAAAGGAACTGGGGTGTGATTTTTTCCCCTCTCTTCTCTCTTTCTCTCTCTCTGGTGAGTGCATATATACGCTCTGCCAAAAACAAAACAGAACAGAACAGACACAAAACAAAACAAAACACCCAAACTGATAAATACCACCCATTTGCTCTCCTACTATTTATAAAGTTCATACACTCACCAACAGTTCTGGACTGTGGGCATTTGCTCACATCCTCATAAACATTACAAATTTCTCATATTAAACACTTTTGCCAACTTGAAAGGCAAAAGTACATCTCATTATTTTATTTCCCCATTTTCTGCTCCCTCATGGCACACACTTTTTTTTTTTTAAATATGTCTGTGCAAGTGTCCATGCTGCGTGGGAGACTCTACTCATCCTGCGAACAGGCCTGGGCCAGGCATCAGCTCTGCCATGAAGTCTTTCCCAGTCTCTTGGGAAGCACTAACTACTCTCTTACTGGTATTCTATAGTGATGGTCTCGTGTTACCTCAAAACACACTGTACAGTTCTTTGTTTTCTTCTAAGAGATTTTTGCCATAGGGTGTGTGTGCGCACCAGAGAGACAGAGACAAGAGAGAGAAAGAGAGAGAATGAAAGTGAGAAATCACCTGCCAGGGGAAATGGCCATGCCACAATCCCTTCTCTCCATTCTTTTAGGTTTTTGGGCATGCATGCACACGCACTAGGTGTGAGTTTCAAACTGCCAGATGCAGGACTTGAACTGCAGTGGGAGTCCAGCACCTTAACCACTATGCCACTGCTGGCCCCACTGTGTAGTTCTTAAAGCATGATGTCCACTGCCTTACTTTTTACTTCGCTGGTGCTTTAGATAGAGTATGTTCCATTATTGCTTAGTTGAATGACTTTTGAAGCAATAAGTATTGGTTCAAAAGTTATGAGCGATAAATGCAAAACACATAAAAGCTTTACATGCTAGTCATAAATTCAAACACTATTAGTATATAAGTAGTGTTTATATTTAAAATTTTAAAATATCAATATGTGTTGGGTGCCTGTATTGCTCCTTCCCCACTCTCCAGACCCCAGAATATCCTTTGCTGAAAATTTCATATGGGTATGCTTTAAGATATTTTTGCTTAGACAAATATGCATACACACATTTCGTTTCAAAGAGTTATATTATATGAGACTATATTATTCTGCATATGTTTCCCCTGCACTTATCACTAAATCATATTAGGGACATTTTTCAAAGCAAAGACTAGAATTTACTCATGGTTTTTTTTTTTTTTTTTGAGTTTTTTTCTATAGAGTGCGTGTGCTCGCCAGAAAGACAGAGAGAGACAGAGAGATAGAAAGTGAGAAATCACCCCCCAGGGAGAATGGCCACACCACAGCCCCTTCTCCTCCATTCTCCTCTCGGGATCTTGGGCATGCACGCACATACACCCGGCGTGAATTTAAGCCACTCGAGTCCGGGACTCGAACTGCGGTTGACTACACAGGAGCCCAGTGACATAGCCATTATGCCAACTGCTGTTCCTGCTTACTCATGTTTTTAAACAACTGCATAATATTCAGTGCACTACTATTCAGTACTTATTCCTTTAGTGATGAGAATTTGGATTGTCCCATTTTTTTTTATTAGAAAACTTTTGCAGAGAAAATACTTATTCATATTTTTTCATGCTTGGACAAGTATTAATATTTCTACATGATAAGGTCTTAGAACTAGACATTTTTTCTTTAAGTATAAATAAGATTTGTATGCTTAGTCTAAAATGAAATCGTGACTCAGGAAATACAGGAATTGTAAAACTAGGACCAGTCCTGGAGCCTACAGTGATGGGAGCTGGACCCTACATGGCTGACCACAGTTTGACTCTCAGCCCCAGTGACTTGAAAAACATGCTGGCCGTGTGTGCAACCTCAAATCCCAACAGAATGGAGAGATGGAGGCAAAGGAACTGGGGTGTGATTTTTTCCCCTCTCTTCTCTCTTTCTCTCTCTCTGGTGAGTGCATATATACGCTCTGCCAAAAACAAAACAGAACAGAACAGACACAAAACAAAACAAAACACCCAAACTGATAAATACCACCCATTTGCTCTCCTACTATTTATAAAGTTCATACACTCACCAACAGTTCTGGACTGTGGGCATTTGCTCACATCCTCATAAACATTACAAATTTCTCATATTAAACACTTTTGCCAACTTGAAAGGCAAAAGTACATCTCATTATTTTATTTCCCCATTTTCTGCTCCCTCATGGCACACACTTTTTTTTTTTTAAATATGTCTGTGCAAGTGTCCATGCTGCGTGGGAGACTCTACTCATCCTGCGAACAGGCCTGGGCCAGGCATCAGCTCTGCCATGAAGTCTTTCCCAGTCTCTTGGGAAGCACTAACTACTCTCTTACTGGTATTCTATAGTGATGGTCTCGTGTTACCTCAAAACACACTGTACAGTTCTTTGTTTTCTTCTAAGAGATTTTTGCCATAGGGTGTGTGTGCGCACCAGAGAGACAGAGACAAGAGAGAGAAAGAGAGAGAATGAAAGTGAGAAATCACCTGCCAGGGGAAATGGCCATGCCACAATCCCTTCTCTCCATTCTTTTAGGTTTTTGGGCATGCATGCACATGCACTGGGTGTGAGTTTCAAACTGCCAGATGCAGGACTTGAACTGCAGTGGGAGTCCAGCACCTTAACCACTATGCCACTGCTGGCCCCACTGTGTAGTTCTTAAAGCATGATGTCCACTGCCTTACTTTTTACTTCGCTGGTGCTTTAGATAGAGTATGTTCCATTATTGCTTAGTTGAATGACTAGTTGGTAATCTCTTAGAGCTTTTCCACCTCTAGTGATGCAACAAATGGATTGCCTGGGACTTGTACACTAGCAGCAATTTTAGAAGCCACACAGCTCTTATTGTAAAATAAGCATATATTCATTACTTATCACTTACATGTTCATCAGGAATGGGTTTCGTTAAGAAGGAAATTCCCAGGGTGACAACTGAGGTCACGAAAAAGAGAATGAGGGCGAAGTATAAATAATGCACTCCACAGATGAATTTGGGACAGTTACTGGGAAACAAACAACTTCCTGTTCCATAGGAAAACTCCACAATTATACGAATAAGGCCCATCACGAGCCCAATGACTAGGCCCCAGAATGCTCCCTGTAAAAGAAATAAGAACAAAATTAGAATGGTTAGAGAAAATGAGAGGCTTCTCTGAGTAAATTCTAATTATCATCATTATGCTAACTTTCATGACTAAGGACCAACAATAAGCAGTTAGTCCTGAGCACAAGATTAGCTAAGCAGAGAAAGTGACAGATACACGGGTTTGTGAGTGGGGGGTGTTGCTCTCCGTGGTCCTGAATCAGTATTGCCCGAGTAACTCTCCAATTCCAGGACTCCAGGAGTGGCAATGTTGCTCTCCGTGGTCCTGAAACACTATTGCTATTCCCTTCCCTCCCACTCCCCCACCTCCCAGTTAACTCTCCAATTCCAGGACTCTACTATCCACACGGACCCAAACTCTTACTTTATGGATAGATTTTGAAAACATTTATTTTTCAGAATAAACAGAACTATAACGTATGTTCCACAATTTGCAGAACTGGTATTAAATAGCTTTAAGAGTTCTATTAAGTTATTGACAATTCATTGAAAAGTGTTGCTTTTCTGATGAAAAGTCAATGGGAGAGAAACGTGTGTCCTCCCTGTCTCCTAGTTCAAAATGTTATGTTTTAGGGAAACAAAATTTAAATGAGATTAAGCGTGCAAGCTTTACACGGAGGAAGACCTGAGTCTGAATTCCAAGGTCTCACTTACCAATATTCAGTACCATGTGAGAAACAGATATTGCTGTGATGTTAATGTTTGTGCACACTAAAACTCATGTTGGGACTTAATTTCCACTTGTTATAGTATTAAGAGGTGGGACCTTTATGAAGTGGTTAGATCATGAGGGATGTCCTCACTCCTGAATGGCTTAATGCCATTATCATGGGAGCAAGTTAGTTAATCCTGGCTGTGGTTGTTATAAATTGCTTTTAGCTTTTCTCTCCCAGACATCATCAATTGCATGCTCTTGGCTCAGGTCATGTGATGTCTCTGTCATATGATGGCACAGCAAGAGGCCCTTTGCAGGTGTAATACTATGTTCTTGGGTGTCCCAGCGTCCAGAGCCATGAAAATCATCTCTTTTCTTTCTTGCCCAGTATCAGATATTCAGTTACGGCAATAGAAAATGGACCAAGACAGATACTAATCTCTCTGCAACTGTTCCTCACCTGAAAATCACAATAATAAAGCTAGCATGTAGGACCAATGATGGGATTGAATGCTGATAGTCCATAACAATCAGTCAATGATATATATCATGGCAGCAATGAACCCCTACCTACCGTGTTCTGAAACCCTATGTGGTAGGGTTTCTCAGCATTTCCATAAGGAAATGCTTATCTTATTTAATGCATCAATTCCATAAGGTAAGCATCATCATTATTCTCATTTTACAGGATCAAATGATTTCCTTAAGATTTCAATATTATTAGGTGGTATAGCCATACTGGACTCTGGAGTCTGTCCTTCAAGCTTGTGTTCCTCAGCACTGTGCTGCGTATGTACATAGTATTTTGTAAGAAATATAAAGACTATAACATGAATTGGCACTATGCTTTCATACATGTAAGGCTCAAGAGTTGTGACTGACCACAACTGAAATTGAGATGGGTCTTTTGTTGAATAAGTAGGGTAGAATTTTGCTACCTCAGTGAGATAAACACCTTTTTCTTATTCTAGCAGGGAAAAAAAAAAACTTTGCAATTTCCACTTACCTGTTCATTGACCCTTTTGCAGAAGATGGCGAGCAGGAAGACAGATGCGACTGGAGGCCCAAGGTAGCTAGAAATCGATTCTGTGTAATGGATTAGTTGTCCATTTTGGGCTATCTCTACAAATGGGACCCACAGGATGCTGGTGACAATTAATAGAATGACAAATAACCTATAGAAAGCAAAACGATTTAAATATTAAATAAATGCACCATAGAGCTTCATTGTGCTTTAGTTTTTATATCACTTTTGTTGCAGTTCATTGATTTTTTTCCAAGCCAAGTCAAACTCCTTGACCTTACCTGAACCGTCACAATGCTTAATGATAATCTGTTAGTAAAATGTGATGAAACAATTGTTTAGAACCAGTCATAAAAGATTCATTTATGAAATGAAATATCATTCATAAAAACAATTTAAATGTCAACAATTGATGAATAATCCTCCAATACAAATTATATCTTGCAATCATATGTATGAACTGCATAATAATGTTTCAATCAATAATAGATTGCATGTATGACAGTGGTCCCATAAAATTATAATAGAGCTGACCATTCCTATCATCTAATGACATCGTAGCAGTCTTTTTTCTTTTTTAGAGAGTTTTTTTCTATATGGCACATGTGCCTGCTAGAGAGACAGACAGAAAGTGAGAAAACTCCCCCAGGGGGAAAGGCCATGCCACAATCTCTTCTCTCAGAATTTTGGGCATGCATGCACACGCACCTGGCATGAGTTTTAAGCTTCCAGGTTTGGGACTTGAACTGCAGTTGACTACATGGGAGTGTAGCAATGTAACCATTATGCCATCTGTTGGTCCTAACATTGTAGCAGTCTTAACTGCATAGTGCAATGTGTTGCTTGTTTATGGTGGTGCTAGTAAAAACAAACCTACTGTGTTGTCAGTTGCATGAAAGTATAGTACACACGATGATGTGATGATGTATCGTATGTAATGCTTGACAATGATAATAACTGTGATAGTGTCTTATGTGATTCCTATACTTTTTATCATTATGTCAGTCTACTCTTTCTATTATACTTATAAAAACAAAAAGTTTACTGTCAAATAGTATGCCTTGTTACACTGGCAGCAACCTTGCATATCTCATGTTTATACTGGTTATACGCGATCATATTGCATGTACCGTTTATATGCCATCTCTTGATTGCGTAATTTTCTCTGTGCTTGCTTTTTCTTTTATCTCTTTCTTTCATTTTTTTTTTTTTTGGAGAGGTTTTTGCTATAGGGCACGTGTGCTTGCCAGAAAGACAGAGAGAGACAGAGAGACAGAAAGTGAGAAATCACTCCCCAGGGGGGATGGCCATGCTGCAATCCCTTCTCCTCCATTCTTCTCTCAGGATCTTGGGCAAGCATGTATACATGCCCAGTGTGAGTTTAAGCCACCAGGTCCGGGACTCTAACTGCAGTTGACTACATGGGAGTCCAGCGACATAGCCATTACGCTAACTGCTGGTCCCATATTTATGTGTTTTTTAAAAATTTGTCACAAAGTTCATGCTCTCAGGGGAGAGAGAGAGAGAGAGCCTCCCTATCGGGCTTGCTCACGCCGCAGTCTCTTCTCCCCCATCTCTCCATCCTGCCAGGATCTGGGGCCAGCATGCACATGTGCTTGACATGTTTTTCAAGCTGCCAGGTCCAGGATGGTTGGCTATGTGGGCTCTGGCTCCCTTAACCATGAGGGGCTGGCCCTGTGTTTGTGTTTTAAGCTAAGTGTTATTACTGAAGAGTCAAAGAGTCAGAAATGAAAAACTTTATAAAGTAAAAATGGTACAGTAAGCCAAGTTTAAGTTGTTAAGAAAAAACATTTAAAAACAAATTTAATATAGCCTAAGCATACAGTGGTTCTAGTGTACAGCAGTGCACTGCAATGCCCCAGGCCCTACGTGTTGACTTGCCACTCACCCAGAGCAACTGCCAGTCCTGCAAGCTCCATTCATGGTAAGTGCCCATTTAAAAATCTCTTATGGGTGGGACCAGCGGGTGGTGTGGTGGTTAAGGCGCTGGACTCTCCCACATGGCCGACCTGGGTTCAAGTCTTGAATCTGGTGGCTTGCTTTCTCACTTCCTCTCTCTCTCTCTCTCTCTCACCCTCTGTCTCTCTCTCTGGTCAAATTAAAAAATAAATGAATGAATAAAAAATAAAAGAAAATAAATAATTATTAAAAAAATCTTATGGCATATATATATGTAAATATATATACACACATACACACATATATGCATGTATAATACACACACATATGTATGTGTATATTATGTTCCTTTGTCCTCTCTTCTTCTCTTGGGTTCTTGGGCATACATACACATATGCTGGCATGATTTTCTTTTTTTTTTCCTTCCTTTTTTAAAAAAGAATTACTTATTTAATTTTACTTATTATTATTACTTAATTTGCTATAGGGCAAGTGTGCTCACCAGAAAGAGAGCGAGAGAGAGAAGAGAGAGAGGAGAGAGGAGAGAGGAGAGAGAGAGAGAGAGAGTGAGAAAGTAAGCTGCCAGGTCCAGAACTGAACTGCAGTTGACCATGTGGGAACCCAGTGCTTTAACCATCACACCATCTGGTCCCACCTATATTTTTACTGTGCCTTTTTAATGTTTAGAAGTTTCTAGATGCACAAAATACAGTCATGTTGCAACTGCCTGCAGGATTCAGGATAGCGACATGCTGTGCAGCTTTGCATCCTGGGAGCGGTGGGCTGTCCCGCAGAGCTGAGGCGTATGGCCGGCTCCTCCACCTCGGTTTGTATAAATACTTTCTATGATACTGCGGTGATGAAACCGCCGAACGCAGGTCTCGAACATGTTCCACCATTAAGCGATGCCCAGCTATATATCGATCAGTAACAAACACCTCACAGCTTCGATTCGTCAGTAATTCCTGTGTGATAAAGAAAGCAGACTTAGACCAGCCAGTGGTGTGGTGGTTAAGGCAACTGGATCCTACATGGCTGACTGTGAGGTTCAAGTCCCGGATCCAGTGGCTTGAAAAACACACCAGGCACATGTGCATATATGCCCAAAATCCTGAGAGGAGAATGGAGGAGATGGGATGGTGGTGTGACCATTCTCTCTGGGGGAGGGGTGGTGATTTCTCACTTTCCCTCCTTTCTCTGTCTGTCTCTCTGGTGAGAGCAGGTGCCCGATAGCAAACAAACAAAACAAAAACACTCCCATTTTTGTCTTTTTTCCTAGTTTGACGGGCACTCAGTCAATTCGTATAGAGTAGATTTAAAGCAGCCTCTATCCCAGAACGCCGAGTGAATTAGCAAGACATGTTCATTTGTCCATTTTACTACTTGAGTACTCCAGCAGGTAGAAAGAATTGATTAAAAAATTTGGCAAATCCTAAACACCTATTAGAGGTGAAGCCAGCAGGTGGTGTAGTAGTTACATTGCTGGACTCCCACATGGCTGACTGCATTTTAAGTCACAGACCTGGTGGCTTGAAACTCTCGCTGGCCACATGTGCATGAGTGCCCAAGATCCTGGGAGGAAGATGGAGAAGAAGGGACTGTGGTGTGGCCATCCGCCTGGAGGGTGATCTCTCATTTTCTTCTTACAGTCTGTGTCTCTCTCTCTGGTGAGTGTGCACACTCCCTAAGGCAAAAACCTCTTAAAAAGAAAGACAGAAAAGGAAAAGAAAAACAAGACAAAACAAAACAAAACAAAACAAAAAAAACAACTATCAGAGGTTCCTGGAGCCCAGGGAATATTACTTGGTCACTTTTTTTTTTTTGAGAGATTTTTGTTATAGGACCTGTGCATTTGCCAGAGAGACAGAAAGACAGAAAACGAGAAATCACCCCCCCCCACCCCACCCCGGGGGGGATGGCCACGCCACAATCCCTTCTCTGTTCTCCTCCTGGGACCGTGGCCACTCATGCACACGTGCCCAGCATGAGCTTAAAGCCACTGGGTCCAGGGACCAGCAGTTAGCGTAATGGCTATGTCACTGGACTCCCACGTAGTCGACTGCGGTTCACGTCCCGGACCCAGTGGCTTAAAACTCACACATGTGTGTGTGAGCCCAAGATCCCAAGAGGAGAATGGAGGAGAGGGGATTGTGGCATGGCCATCCCCCTGGGGGGTGATCTCTCGCTTTCTGTCTCTCTCTGTCTGGTGAGCACACGCGCCCTATAGCAAAAACCTCTCCAAAAAAAAAAAAAAAAAAAGTCACCGGGTCCAGAACTTGAACTGTGGTCAGCTCTGTGGGAGTTCAGTGATGTAACTGCATGTCCTCTGTGTCACGTGAATAAAAGACAAACACCATGTACTAGATGGTGCATGAAGGTCATCGTCTCTCCTCGCTCACCTGAAACAGAGAGAGGTGTGGGGAGCAGGGAGGAGAAAGCACTTGGGCAGGAGACTGAGGCACGGTTTCATTTAAACTACGAAATCTCTGCAGCCTTGCAACCACTTACAGCGCTCAATTACGGCACGTCTTAGCACGTTATCAAAAACAGCAAGGATTAGTGATCTCGCCAACATTATAGTCATCACCTTTTGAAGCGAACCATGTGCCTTCCAGCTTTCTTATCTTCCGTCGTTTTCTACCACGTGTAGAATGAATTCCAAAGTCTTGTTACGGCTTCAATTGTCCCACGTGACCTCAACTCACTGCCTTCCCGACCTTGTTTCTTATCACTCTCCCACTTGTTCTCACGTTCTTACCTCATTCTGGGTTGTTCTTAAACACACCCCATAACTGACTGTTGGAGGAATTCAGCACTTCCTATTCCTGCCCCAGATGGCTCACTCCCACACTCCCTCAGGGCTCTACTCAAATGCCATCTCCTCAGGCCAGCAGGTGGCATGGAGATTATGGCAGGGAGATCCCTTACAGCTGACAGTGTGGTTCCAGTCCCAGACCCAGGAACTTGAAAATCATGCTGGGAGTGTGTATGTGTGTGCCCAAGTCCCGGATCCAGTGGCTTGAATGGAGGAGAATGGAGGAGAAGGGGTTGCAGCATGGCCATTGCCCCGGGAGTGACTTCTCACTTTCTCTCTCTCTCTCTCTCTCTGGTGAGCACAGGTGCCCTATGGAAAAAACTGAAAAAAAAAAAAAAAAAGAGGGGGGGAGAATGAAAGAGAAAAAAACAAATCCCACCTTCGCAGGAGGACTGGCTAAGCTGCTGCCCCCCTTTCACCTTACATTAATTATCTTCCTAGTACTTCCGGTCTGATGAAGTGCACAATGATAAATTGTCTCTCTTCTCCACGAAGGTAAGGATTCCATGAAGCAGGGATTTAAAAATATTTCCCCTATATTTGTGTTTTAGAAGATAGTAGACATTTGCTAAGAGAGAGAGGAAAGGGGCCAGAGGGTGGTGTAGCAACAAAACCTGATGCTCTGCAAGGCAGACTCACCTGGAAGGGTTCCCAGTTCAAGGCTGGAGACCCCCCTGAGTATGCTAGGGCATATTTGCTGCCCATGGTCGAGTCTGACAAAGCAGCCTTTTCATGGGAAGGTATGTTTCTATCTTGAAACGGTAAGTTGAATGAAACGTCCTCTCACGTCCCCTCCCTGCTCTAGAACTCTGGGATTACTTTCACTGAAGCCAAAAGCAAGGAAGAATTCTATGTGGGAGCCAGGATTTCCTCACCGTCCAGCTATCAGGAGCTCTCTCTCTGATGCCTTCTTTCGTATCTTGGTGTAGAGGTCCATGGTGAAGAGGGTGCTGGCGCTGTTGAAGATGGAGGTCAGGGAGCTCATGAGGGAGGCCAACATTACCGACAGCATCAGGCCTCGCAGTCCTGGGGCCAGGAGGAGAGACAAGCATTGGTTAGTGGCTTGGCACCGTGGTCTAGGAGGACCTTGGCAAAGCACAGAGGCACTCGGAGATCAAGGTGCCATCTGGAATGTTGCTTAGCTCTTGGATGTACTCATCAATACACACCAGCATGGGAATTTCATGCCTATTTCCCAGTGACTGAGGACAATCCACTATAGAAGTTTAGTCCTTAGTATAAACTTAGAGATCATCCGCTGAAACCTATTTTAGAAGAGAAAACAGTGGCATCCCATCTTTCTTTGGGAAAGAATTTTTTTTTTTTTTCTGGAGACTTAGATAGCTGGACAGAAGCCTAGTAGGTGGTTCTGCGGGAGATGTCTTTGGGGGCAAAGCCAAGATTTTCGAACCATTATATGAGCTTCATCCTTTGGCTCCTGCTGCCCATTAGTAATGGCCCTAAATCTCCTAGAACAGATTGTGAGATGGAGTGTGTGTGGTGTCACGTTTGTGAGCCATGCCACCTTCCTCCTGAAAATGTCTACGTGTGTCAGAGAGGAGAAAGGTCGCAGAAATTTTAGCCAGTGTTTGCTGAGCCTAAGGTTGAGTTCTCTGGGTCACACCTGAACTCTGGACCCGGCTGTTTTTCTGTTCACCACAGCAATGATCATCTCTGGTCTCCTAGTAATTTACTCATTTCCTACTTGTGGTTTATGTTCTCTTTCACATCATTAATACTAGAATGTGAGTTCTAAGGGACAGGGCGTCTTGTTCCTACTTTGCTGATATTTTATTTTTCTTTCTTTCTTTTTACTTATTTATGTACTTATTTTTCAAATTTTGGCCATAGGGTGTGTGTGCTAGAAAGAGAGAGGAGGGAAGTGAGAAATCACCCTTAGGGGGTATACCCATGCCTCAATTCCTTCTTCATTCTCCCCTTGGGATTTTTGGGCATGCATGCCTGGCATGTTTTCAAGCTGCCAGGTCTTCTGATATTTTCTAAGCACCAAAGCAGCTTCTGGCATAAGTAGGGACACAATAAGTAGTTATAAATGAAATAGATTGAGATCTATGATGGGGAATATCATTGGCCCATTGAAAGCAGGGTAAGTAGGTAACCTCTAGTTCTCTGAGTTTGTAAATGGCGATGCAGCTCTTTTATCAACAAATAGATCATGTGAACATTCTTGAGTGCTTTGAAATAGTTTTGAATCTGAAGGAATGAGAATTCTCTAACAAAAACTGCATCTGGTTTGTCTCTGAAATCTCTAGGCCTCGCAGGGGGATGGTAGCCCGTAGAAGGTGTACAAGAGATGTCTGATGATTGGAATTAAGTGAACAGAAGTAAGAATGATCAAGAACAATGTCATCACCCTTCTTCGTAGCCCAACTATAGACCAGGCCTCTGGGCTGGCCTTGGTAGGAGCACTTTCTCACCGTCAGGCATCAGTTCCACCACCATCGTTGGGTAGGCATAGTTGCTGCAGCCGATGTCAGTGCCACATTGTCTCACACACTCAGACGGGACAATGCAGGCCACTCTATCTGAGGAAGGATTCAGAAGGGAGGTCAATGAGGTCCACACAAGTGCAACTCACAACCATCGAACAAAGAGAAACGCTGTAAGATCATGGGTGGGAGGAAAGGCATTTGCCTGGAAACTGGAGATTCAACTTTGAGCTCCATACCATGGAGCCGACCCTTCTTTGTCCACAAGACACACACTTCCTAGGTGTCTCATCCTCGTAGCTCTCCTTTGCACTGATGCATGGGGCAGGGCTCTTCCTTGGGTTGTGGCCCAACCAGAGCATTAGAGCAAACAGAGGGAGAGGATCTCATTCTCTAGAAAAACTGAGAAAGTAAGTTCTCCCAGGAGCACAGGACCCCAGAGATAAAACGACAACAGGGACTGAGGTCCTGTGCCCAGCAGGTGTTTTCCAACGACATCTATGAAAAGGTGTCGCTCATGGCGACCCATCAGGCCACTGCCCCATGAGTGATGATTTCCCATTTCCATGGGAAAATAGGATACTTTGGTGGTTTTTTCTTTTTCCTTTTTCTTTTCTAAACAATATTTTGATAGCACATGTGAGAAACTGATAATCATTCAGAATAGTAATGCCTTAGCATATTAGCTTCTTTTCATTAAAAAAATTTTTTTTGGAGAGATTTTTGCTATAGGGTGAGCTCACCAGAGACAGAAAGGGAGAAATTATCCCTGGGGGTATGGCCATGCTGCAATCCCTTCTTCTCCATTCTCCTCTTGGATTTTGGGCATGCACATGCACATGCCCTGGTGTGAATTTCAAGTTGCCAGGTCTGGGACTCGGATCACAATTGACCATGTGGGAGTCCAGTGCCTTAACCACTATGCCACTTGCTGGCCCTATTTGGTTTATTTTTATTTTTATTTTTATTTTTTTTCTCATAGAGAAAATGCTTTTCTTCCCCCATAACTATGGAAATCATTAAAATATTATTTTGTAGACTTCTTTTTATATTTAACATCATAACCTTAGCATTTCTCCACGTTTGGAGGTAATCGTCAGTCTCTCATGTGCAATTTTCCATAAAGAAGGTGTACAGTAATTTCCTCGGTTGCTCCCTACTTGTTAGATATTCTTTAATGTTAGAAATAACAGAGCAATACTGTAATAAGAAGGGATGTCAGGAGGCCCGATGTGGTGCAGAGGTAAAAAGCAATGCTCTGTGAGGCTAATCCATATGAGGAGGTTCTAGGTTCACATCCAGAGACTTCCTCGATTACACCAGGCACACGTGTGCCCATGATTCAGGGCGGGCTGAGGCTAGAGGTGGTGGCAATGTTCGGACCTGTTGGGGTGCTGTCTCTCTGTCTTTCCTGCTCATGAAGCCAAAGATAAACTTAAAAATAAAAGAGGTGGTGGCAGCTACTGAGGTTCATCTTTAAAGAGCTCAGTGAAATAAACAGGTGGCCAGTTGAGTAAACATGAAGTAGAGTCAGTGTTATCTGAGGGCAGGCCCCCATAAAAACAAGTCCTTGGCTAGTCAGGACTAAGCAAAGGTTCAGTCGTCTTTCCTGCGCTTTCCATAACAAAGAAAGAAAGTTTTGAAGGAAGATTTTCAACACTAGCAGTTACTCTCAAGTGACTCAGAAAGGAACATACTCCAAACAATCTCATTCTAAAGCAGTGAAAGTTGATTCGGTTCTCCAGGTATCTGAGGAGTAAGAAATGTATCTTAAGACCTCAGTCAGTGATGTCACCATACTCAATAACCACAGCTACCCAACCATAGGTTTTCAGATCTACCTCCTTCCCAAGTGCCTTCTGTCATTTATGTATGTATTATGTATGTATGTTTTTTCTATCGGTCATGTGCACTGGCCTGAGAGAGGCAGAGAAAGACAGAGAGAGGGAAAGTGAGAAATCATCCCCCAGGGCCATGGTCATGCCACAATCCCTTCCTCATTCTCCTGTCAGGATTTTGGGCATGTATGCTTGCATTCAAGCCGCCGTGTCCAGACTCAAATGGCCATATTCCATAGACTCCCTTAAATCCAAGCCACTCACAAAAACAGGGCGCGCAGACTCAAGTGCCTACGAGGGGACAGGCAGGTCACCTAAAAGGGATAAAGGGGTCTGGCCTGTGGCCGGTGGTTCAGAAAGCCAGGTCTGACATGGCTGACTTTGCCTTTCAATCCTGGCCCCTGCTGCTTGGAAACATGCCAGGCACACGTTTCCCCACACACATGCATGTTCGTGCATGCCCCAATCCCAAAAGGATGGAGAAACAGAGGAGAAAGGATTGTGGCATGACTGTACCCATTAGGGGGCGCTTTCCCCTTCTTCCTCACTTTGCCCCATGCTCTCTGGAAAATTAAAAAAAAAAATCTTTTAAATGTAAACATAAATAAATGAAAGAAAAAAATCATTTTTTAAAAGAAAAGATAAGGGAACATAGTATCAAATGTGCTGACTTTTCCTGCCTCTGAACCCCTGTGCAAGCTCTTCCCTCCACCTCAAATCCTGCTTTTATTTTCATGCTGGAGAGGTTTTCCTAGTTTTTCAAGGTTTAAATACATCTTAGATTTTTCTTTTTAAGAATTATTTTATTTAAATTTATTTACTTATTTATTTATTTTTAAATTTTAATTTAATCTAATTTTATTTTTTAATTTTTATTTATTTAATTTTTTTTATAACAAGTCACATTTATTAGCAACAGTCTATAATCAAAGAATTGCTGAAGAAAGATCTCCCTTAAAGATTTAATTTCAGATTCTGCAATGACAAATGCCCTTCGGATATCTGAAAAAATAGATGAAAGTTGTGACTATAAATTTATTTACTTATTTATTTTTAAATTTGGCCAGTGTGTTTGTGTGAGAGAGAGAAGGAAAGAGAGAGAAAGAGAGCAAGCCCTTCAGGTCCAAGACTCAAACCACAGTCGGCCATGTGGGAGTCCAAAGCCCTTAACCACCACGCCACCTGCTGGCCCCCAAGGTTTAAATACATCTTAAAAACACTGCTCAGCCACAAAGAACAGTGAGATCCTGTCATCCACACAAAGTAGAAGAAACTGGAAGTATTCATACTAAGTGAAATAGGCCGGACCATGAAAGACAAACACAGTATGTCTCCGCTCAGCATATACTGCATGTCGGCACTCTCTGGCAGAAACTGAAAGAGTCAGACACAGAAGTAGAGATGGCAACTGTAGATACCAGTGACTGCATGGGGAAGACGGGCGGGGGAAGGGCTCAGGAGAAAACACTTAACAGACACAAAAAGGCCTGTAGAAGAGTCAAGTAACTTACGGAACGATATAACACAACAGAGTAAGAAAATATCAAAACACAAACACAGGCATTGCAATCATCTATACATATCTCAGACAAAACCAAACCAAACCCCCTAGGATGATGAAAATGGACAGTCCCCAGCATAACGCTATGTTCTTTGTTGAAGATGATGAATACGGTAAAGTCCTTGGCTTATCACACACTGCATGCATGTTTTGAAAGACTACATTGCACCCCACAAAGATGTACAACAATTTAATATGAATAAGACATTATAAAATAAAAGAAAACACTTCTCAGAATTCAGGCCTAAAGAAAGCGGCCCTAAGGAGTCAGGGCTAACCTGTGTACAGAATGCGGCTGATCATCCCCGGCATCACCATGAGAAACAGGGGCAGAAGCTTCAGGTACCCACACAGGACACAGGCGGCCTTCACGTGAGACATGTCCTTGCCACACAGGCAGCGCTGCACGATGACCTGCCCAGAAAACATGGCATACTCGGGAAATGGTAGGACACAACCAATAGAAACAATCCGAGAATTGTCTCTTTTTAGGATTTAATATTACAATAAGAAACAGTATTATGGGTACTGGAGGATAATGAGAACAGAACAGGAGGTATGCTTGTATGGGATTGAGAATTGAAAGTTAAAAGAAAGCTGAACTCTTATCTCACCATGGGAAGCCAACAGAAAAAAAAATTCTAAAAATGGAACAAGAAGAAGGAAGAATACAAACATTTATTGGATCATTTTTGGAACAAGTTTATTGGATGGATTTGGACTGAACAGGTCAGGTAAAGTCTACTGAGTTTCAGGATGATGTCCCTGCTGGAAATCCATAGACCAGACATGGAGTATAGGAATTAAGAGACTAGAAATAAATACCCACTTCACTGAAAGAGCTGAAAGTGTTTGTCTCTTAGGGAAGAGAAAAAGGGTATCAGACAACTATTTTTTTTCATAACAAGCCTTGGGGAAGTCTTGGACTCTTTTAAAATGATAGGTGTGTGTGAACAAAACAGAAAGTGTGTGCTTTTCTTTTCTTTCTTTTTTAAAAGATTGTTATTTGATGTGCAGACTTGCTGGAAAAAGAGAGAGAGAGGAGAGAGAGAGGAGAGAGAGAGACTCCCCCCCCCCCCCGGGTGGGCAACACGCAACACCTTCTTCCAGGATGGCCACACTGCAATCCTTTCTGCTTGATTCTTCTGCCGGGATTTCGGGTATGCATGCATACATGCCTGGTGTGTTTTTCAAGCCCTTGGGTCGGGGACTCAAACCGCATAGTTGGCGGGAATCAGCTACCTTAACCACCATGCCATATGGCTGACCTAAGAAGTGTTTGGCTCTTTAAATGATGTGTGTGTACAAAACAGAAACTGGATGCAAGAAAGATGAACACACACACACACACACACACACACACACACTTACCTGATCTGTGCACCAGTACCACACACCTACAAGATTTAATCCAAACACCACTCCTGGCCATGGAATATCCCCAGTGATAGGATCTCGGAAAATGTGGAAGGAGTCCTCCTGAGGAGTGTAGCACTTGGCATCGATCGTCAGGTTGTCCCCTGTGACTATGGATGGGATGGCATTCATGTACTTCTCTTGAAAACTCTCGTAGCCTCCGACTTCGGCAAATGCTGAAAAGGCATCAGATAAAATGAATATCTTACTGAAATCTAAGACACCTGATGTATAGGACTACCTTTTTTTGTCACGAAGGTACAAAAGCACCTATTAGCCTGATCAAATCCTCAGTGACCCACATCCATGTTTTTGTAGCACCCCCACTGGCATCAGCCATGCAACCGGATGACGTCACAAAGTACCTAAAACAAATTAACTAACTTTTCTTATGATGCTACTCTTTAAAACTTTGATTTAGTGTCTTAGTTAAGATACAAATTGACACTGCTAACTGACACCCTGATATTGACAACTTACAAGCACCCAGAGTAGAAACAGACTTGAGTGAGTCTAATGGAATGAGCCCTCAGGAAGCCCCAACTCCTCTGCAAGGACCTGGAAGCCATGGCCTCTCTTGCTGTCTCAGGGCCTCGCTGTTCTGCCATTACTTGCAGTTTGGTATTATGGTACAATACTGTACTCTGCCTATGTTCTCACAAAAATATAAAAAAGATAAAGAAACTGGAATCTTAGCAACAAACCAACAGAACTAGCCAATAAAAAACAAAAACAGAAACTGGAGGTAGCAAGTCAGATGTGAGGAGAGGAAATGGTGAGGGAGGAAGGCTGAGCTGCGGTTCACTGAGGTTCTGGGAACACTAGTCAGGTGCCAAAGAAATGATAGCTTCTCTTAGAAAGATGAACCCAGGCATCTGGGACCACTTAGACGGTGCGGAATTCATCAGAGCACAATACAGTTGGTCAACTGGTATGAATGCACTTCTTCACTATTTCATTGTGCCTACTATATGCCACACATTGTCACGTGCAAAATGAGTGGGCAGGGCAGGAACTCGGCCTACTGGAGGATACAGACAACATGTGGACATTGCCTTGATTAGACAAATACAAGCTGTAACAAAATACCTGTGGAAATTTAGGGATAAAGGAATTCGCCTCCTCATTCTAAGGACTAGAGAGACTGATGCCAGGGTGTGCACCAATGAGGTCGGAAACAAACAAGAACGTAACAAGAGGAACATAGACGTCCTAGATAACTACATAGAAAGTGCAGGAGGAATTGGTGCCAGCGGTTGTCTTCACAGCAGCACTGTGCAATGGAAGCTTTCTGCAGTGATGGAAATGTTCTACATCTGCACTGTCCATATGATGGCCACTAGTGTCTACTGGACATTGCAAATAAGGTTTGGTAAAGAAGAAACTAAACTTTCAATTTTATGAAAGCCACATGTGGTTAATGGCAGCCAGATTGCATTGAAATCACCAGCTATCGTCGTGAAGTTGTTGTCTTCACAGTTCTTTACGTGTTTGCTTCATCTGTATTTTCAAGCTCTGTAATTAGGTGCATGCACATTCAGTATTATTGTATTCAGTGCAGCTCAAGTGGCTGGAGCATGGTAGTTAGAGGACAGGGAAGGGAGATTTATTTTACCTTGTAGCCTTTTCATTGTGTGCATGAATTTCTCACGCAAAGACAAATAAATACCATAATAAAAGAAAAGAAAATTGAGCACGTGGCACAATTAGATTAATTAATTTGCTTGTTGACATGAGTTAAGATAATGACCTAACTGATGCTACTAATTTGTGAGAGTCATTAAGGAAAATCCAACCTTTGTACATTTTTTTAATTGCCAGAGGGTTTGTGTATTCACCAGAGAGAAACAGAGAGGGAGAAAACGCCCTCCAATGGGGCATGGTCATGCTGCAAATCCTTTCTTTCTTTCTTTTTTATTTTTTTTCAAATCTTTTCTTCATTTCTCTATCCTGTCAGGCTTTTGGGCACACATGTACATGCACCTGGCATTTTTTTTTTTGGAGAGGTTTTCACTGTAGGGTGCATGTGCTCGCCAGATAGACAGAGAAAGACAGAGAGACAGAAAGCGAGAAATCACCCCCCAGGGGGGATGGCCACGCCACAATCCCTTCTCCTCCATTCTCCTCTTGGGCTCTTGGGCACGCACGCACACATGCCCGGCGTGAGTTTTAAGTCACCGGGTCTGGGACGTGAACCGCGGTCAACTATATGGGAGTCCAGTGACATAGCCATTACGCTAACTGCTGGTGCCCACCTGGCACTTTTTCAAGGTGTGAAGTGCCGTGATTAAAACTGTGGTTGACTCCATCTGGTGTCTGGCTCCTGTAACCACCAGACTACAGGGCCAGCCTTGTCTGTGCATTTTAACAATAGATGGAGTAATGTATTTTAAAGGATTTTCATCCCAAACAGTCATAATGGGGTTGATATTCAGTTGTCTAAATTCTTCCTAATATTCGATCCTTGTTTCCTAAAAATTCTTCGTAAAGGGAACATTCTATGCTTTGAATCCAATGCATCATTATTTTGTAAAATGATCAGCCCCATGGTACTTATTTTGTTTATTCTGAAAACAAAAGAAAACAATGAACGTTAAACAAAATAACTTGGCTGGTTGAGTGCGGTGGTGTTTACGACTCACTGATCACAGCCTGTTACAGATTTCTTTGTTCCTTCTCTACTCCCACTGCCTCACTTACCTAGTCTATAAAACAAAACAAAAACAGAAGAAAAAGAAAAAAAACACAAAAAACAAAAAGTAACTTACCTAAGCAATACTTTTCTAAAAGAAGTAAAGTTCTTCTCCCACATTCTGAGATAATACAGCAGCAAAGAAGTCAGGCTGACATTTCAGTGATGGGAGTGAGATCGATGACCAGTCAGAGCTGGTAGGCAGTGATAATGACCAGGCACGCTGAACGAAAGGACTGATTTCAGGCCCCCGGGCGCTGTCCCAACTTACCAAACCCCATAAGAATAAAAGAGCCGATCAGCATGATGACGGTCTGCAACGTGTCTGTGTAAATCACAGAGGCCAACCCTCCTGTTGAGAGAAAGAAAAGGACCGGGACATTTTATTCATGTATACGCATCCATTTGCTTTCACCTCTGGGTTTACATCTACCCAAATCCTGGAAATCACAAAATTCATATAAAAAATTCTTAAGCAAAAATTATATAAACCCTCCCAGCTTGGGCTGGCCAGGTAGTGTGGAGGTCGAGGTGGCTGGGTCCCAGATGGCCCACTGAGTGATTCAAGTATCCAGCCTGGTGGCTTGAACAATACGACGAGTGCATGTGCATGCTTGTCCATAATCCTGAGAGAGAGAGGAGAAGGGATTGTGGTGTGGTCATCTCCCTCGGAGGGTGTTTTCTCACTTTCTCTCTTCTGTCTCGGTCTCTCTCCAGTGAGCACACATGTCCCACAGCAAATTTTAAAATGTGGTTCTGGGCTTGAATCAGAAGCTTGAACCTGAGACTTAGCATCATTATCTCTGTACTATTTATGCTTCCATCAATTTCCTTATATTCCTTGTCTTGCTCTCAAAGTTGTGTTTTTTTTTTTTTAATGAATAAGAGTGTTGTTCTTTTTTTTTTTGAGATTTTTGAATATTAAGTAAGGGAAAAGGCAAACATTTAATCTCATGAAAGCTTTCTTTAACAATCCCTTGATTCACCCCATTTAATATAGGATACACGCTCCCCCCAAAATCTAGCAAACCATTATTTTATTAATTGCATTCCAAATATAGTCATTGACTTATGTTTTGCTGCACTGTTGTACAAAAGAAAAATGTCTCTCTCAAGTCTAGACTCACTAGACTCTCAGTCAATAAGACATTTTCCTTAGGAGAGTTGTGGGGAAACAAGACTGATTCTGAAAACAGGAGATCCACGCTCTCATACTTCACTGATTCTCAAACATGGGCTCTGTGAAGGTGGTTCAAACTAAACTACAGTCACTTATGTCAGACCTTCACAACTTGGAACCGGGAGGCCATGGAGGAAGTACCTCCATGCGTGTATGCCTGTCACAAGAGTTGTTACAAGGGCTCATTCCAACCAGAACTTTCCAGCATCTAGGAAGACCCACCTAGCAATAGGCAGTATCCCCAGTGAACAAGCATAGCTGCTTGTAATTAGCCCCTGAAACAACGGTCTTTGTGTTAAAATGGCTTTTGTAGACTTCCCCTTTTTGTCTTTAAAATTGTCCCTTTACTGGGGCCAGCAGGTGGTGTGGTGGTTAAGGCACTGGACTCCCACTTGGCTGACCATGGTTTGAGTCTTGACCCTGGTGGCTTGAAAATCACACCAGGCATGTGTGTGTGCATGCTCAAAATCATGAGAAGAGAATGAAGAAGGGACTGCAGTGTGGCCATCCTCCTGGGGGTGGGTGATGCCTCACTTTTCCTCTTCTGTCTCTCTGGCGAGTGCATGTACCCTATGGCAAAAATTTTTAAAACAATTCTCCTTGTCCTAACCCCTTTGGATGCACCTGTGGTCTGTATCTCAGATGGCAGTCCTCGCTATTCCCATGTAAACTCTTTAGTTTGGAGAGTTGGTCTTTCTATCACTTATTTTAGGTTAACAGATCAAGGTATAAAAATGACTCCAGAACTGCTCTGATTGTTCAAGTTGTTATTTTTTCCTTCTCTTTCTTCTTTCTTTCTCTGTTTCCCTTTTTCTTTTGTTCTCTCTTTTTTCCTTTCTCTCTCTCTCTCTCTCTTTTTTTTTTTTTTTTTTTTTTTTTTGGATTTTTTTCTATTTTTTTTTTTTTTTAGAGATTTTTGCTATAGGGTGCATGTGCTCGCCTGAGAGACAGCGAGAAATCACCCCCCGGGGGAGCGGTGGCCATGACACAATCCCTTCTCCTCCATTCTCCTCTCAGGATCTTGGGCACACATGCACACCTGCACACACACCGAGCATGAGTTTTAAGCCACTGGGTCTAGAACTTGAACCATGGTCGACTATGTGGGAGTCCAGAGACATACCCATTATGCCATCTGGTGGCCCTGTTATTTTTCTTTATTTTTTTCTTTTTTCCAACTCAGCTGGTATAGTTTAATTTTCATGAGTTAGTATGTGTGAGAACGTATGCGAACATACATGGTTCACGGCAGCCTGCCTGCACGCTTTCTTCCCATGACCAGTCCTCTGTTCCAGTTTCCCTCTCCTGACTGTGCCATTCATAGCCCATAGCCATGCCCTGGCATCCTGTGTTCATTTGAGCCTCACCTAGCATCTGCCAGTCTTATATCTGCTGCTATTTCAGCCAACACTTCTGTGTGTATGATATGCTGAGTTCTGAATGCCAATCTGAGCCCCACGCACATAACTGAAACAAACTGCTAGTTTCCTACCCCACTCATTACATTGTTTCCTCACTTGACGTGCTCACACCTAATATGGAGGATTCTGTTTTTTTCTTTCTTTCCTTTTTTTTTTTTTTTTTTTTGCTATATAGCATGTGTACTCAGCAGAGACAGAGAGAGAGAGAGAGGGAGGGGAAGTGAGAAAGCACCCCCAGGGGAGATGGCCATGCCACAATCCCTTCTTCTCCATTCTCCTTGTGAGATTTTGGACACCCATGCACATGCCCACAAGTGTTTTCCAAACTGCCAGGTCTAGGACTTGAACCTCACCATCAGCCATATGGGATACAGTTGCCTTAACCTCCATGCCATTTGCTGGCCTGAGGATTCTGTCTTATTTACTCTAGTTGTGTTTCTTGTCCTCTGCCTGACTCTCCATTTTGGGAATGAAATGGCATCATTACCTTGCCAATGACAAGGCTACTCCTGAGGTTAATTGTAGTTCGGAATGGGATCAGCAGAAGACAGCATGACTGACCAAAATATGCAACAGACTCACCAGTGACTGTGTAAATAGCAGTGATAGCCAAGAGGATGAAGATCGCCAGGTACATGTCCAAACCCAAGGCCACTTTGATGAATATGGCTCCAGAAAATATGTTTGACTGAAAAGGGAACAGTCAGGACGGGAAACATACGTTTAAGGTCACTGATTTCTTTGCTCCAACGTCTACTTCCTTCTCTGTGTTTCTTCTCCTGGTAGATTTCAACCTATACTTTAAGACTCCACTTAGCTGTCCCCATAATGATATCTTCCACAAAACCTTAAACAGCAATTTTCACTCTGGCTTCCATCCTCTAAGCAGTTCATTCATCGCTCAGTTGAGGCATTTGTTACGTGAGCTGACATGTGCTGAGAGCTTTTTCTGAATCATGAGGTTTAGAGTGGCCAATTGCTTATAGGATCCCTCTTGACTGTGATGGAACATTTAGAAAGACGTATTATTAAAATTAGTATTTTTTGTTTTGAATACTGATGAGAATTTTTACAAGTACATATGTTTATTTTTATTTTGCTACAACTATACACAGGAATGGGTCTGTTTCAAGAGATGACTTGAGTGATATTTTATTCTCTGCTCTGGAAAAGCTTAGGTACCAAGAATGATCTCTTCCTTGAAACCTTGAAACTGCCACTCTTCTCCACTTCCCAAACTACCTGCAAAACACTTATTGTTATTATAATCATTTTTCATCTGAGGAAATGGACGCTTTTGTCCATGGTCACCCACTTAGAAAGTGGTACACTAAGGATATAAACTTGTGCAGCGTGACTTCAAAGATCACACTGTTAAACACCTTGTTATACTGTTATCATGGGCTTATGGTAAGTGAGATATATCGGAAATACTTAGAGAAGCATAGAGAAAATATTCTGGGGAGGGGGGTAATAATTGTGGGAACATAGTTGTGAATGGCCATGAATCTCCCTCCCTCTCTCTCTCTCTCTCTCTCTCTATCTATCTGTTTTTTGCCATAGGGTGTGTACACTTACTGGAGAGAGACAGAGAGAGGGAAAGTGAGAAATTACACACAGGGGCCCTGGTTGGCCATACCACAATCTCTTCTTCACCATTCTACTCTTGGGATTTTACCTGGCATGATTTTCAAACCTCCAGGCCCAGGGCTCGAACTCCAGCCAGTCACGCAGGAGTCCAGCGCCTTAACCACTATGTCACCTGCTGGTCCCAATGAATCTCTTTCTTAGAGTAAGTACATATCAAAATTAACAAAATGAGGTGTCACGGTTTTTCCCACTAAGTCAAAAATGCAAGACATGGGAACAAGTTACCCTCAGCTGTAATACCTGCCTGGTGTCAAGATCTGGGTGGAAGGGAGAATAACATAGCTTATCTGAAAAATCTTAGAATTAAACCTTCCCACAGAGCCAACAGGGAGTCACTGGGGGGCACAATGAGCCAATTTTCTGAAAGAGGTTTTGTCCCAATGACTAGTGGGTTCCCTGAGAGGGACCAGAAGAGTTGAGGTCAAATGAACCCTAAAAACCAACTGCCTATTTGTAGATATTTGATGCATCTCCATATTGTTCTCCACAGTAGCTGTACTGATTTACATTTTCACCAACAGTGTTGGAGCATTCCCATTTCACCGCAACCTTGCCAGCACTTATCATGATTGACTTTTTTAATCTTACCCATTTTGACTGGGGTTAGGTGGTATCTCATAGTGGTTTTGATTTGCATTTCCCTTACGATAAGAAATGTTGAACACCTTTTCATATGCTTTTTGGCTGTTAGTATGGCTTCCTTGGAGAGTTGTCTGACCAGTTCATTTGCCCATCTTTTAACTGAATTTATTGTTATTATTATTATTATTATTATTATTATTATTATTATTATTATTATTATTATTATTATTATTATTATTATTATTATTATTATTATTATTATTATTATTATTATTATTATTATTATTATTATTATTATTATTATTATTATTATTTTCAGGTAAGCTGTTTGAGTTCCCTGTATATTCTGGTTATCTGCCCCTTACCTGAGGCAGAGTTTGCAAGTATGTTCTTTAATTCTGAAACAATAACAACAACAACAACAACATCAACAACAACAAAAAACAAAGAAACGAAAACCAGCTGCCAACATTCCTTTTCAGAACAGGGCCCTACCCTGAGAAGCAACTTCTAGAAGTGGAATAAAAATTTAGGAAAATAAGAAACATCATATTTGACTGTGTATATTCAGTTGGAAGAAGAATTGCAAATAAATCCAAAAGTTAAGTTTGTTTGTTGGAACAGTATGAGTGAGACAATTCTGAAACTAGCGTACACATATTACGGGATTTAGTAAACAAATACATATGTTGATGACTTGGGGAGCCAGAATATGTGATTTTTGGAAAAAGGATCATACGAATGGATACTTGGGCAATAAAATACCCTATGGAGAAGAATTGTAACTTAAGGAATTACTCAATGTTATTACAGGGCATGTCACATTCTTTACACACAAGGCAATTTGAGGAACTCCCAGTGGTCAAATCTGGAATATGAGCATCAAAACAATCAGAAATAGTAATGATAAGGAGGAATTTGTAAGTCAGTATCAATGATAGATAGGATTAAAGATACAAGGGAGAGAGAACATAAGGAGAAAGAGAAGAATGAGAGGGAAGGAGAAGAGAGAGAAAAGAGGAAAGTCGAAGAGAGGAAATGGGAGAAGAAAGGAAAGAAAGAAAGAAGAACAAAAGAAAGAAAGAAAGAAAGAAAGAAAGAAAGAAAGAAAGAAAGAAAGAAAGAAAGAAAGAAAGAAAGAAAGAAAGAAAGAATTCTAGAAGTGGAATAAAAATTTAGGAAAATAAGAAACATCATATTTGACTGTGTATATTCAGTTGGAAGAAGAATTGCAAATAAATCCAAAAGTTAAGTTTGTTTGTTGGAACAGTATGAGTGAGACAATTCTGAAACTAGCGTACACATATTACGGGATTTAGTAAACAAATACATATGTTGATGACTTGGGGAGCCAGAATATGTGATTTTTGGAAAAAGGATCATACGAATGGATACTTGGGCAATAAAATACCCTATGGAGAAGAATTGTAACTTAAGGAATTACTCAATGTTATTACAGGGCATGTCACATTCTTTACACACAAGGCAATTTGAGGAACTCCCAGTGGTCAAATCTGGAATATGAGCATCAAAACAATCAGAAATAGTAATGATAAGGAGGAATTTGTAAGTCAGTATCAATGATAGATAGGATTAAAGATACAAGGGAGAGAGAACATAAGGAGAAAGAGAAGAATGAGAGGGAAGGAGAAGAGAGAGAAAAGAGGAAAGTCGAAGAGAGGAAATGGGAGAAGAAAGGAAAGAAAGAAAGAAGAACAAAACACAGAGGATAGTTTAGTAGAATTTCTTCCTGCCCTCAGGATAGGGGAAGATTGCTTCCATGAAAAGGACCAACCATGAAAGGAAAGATAGCTAGATTTGACTACATGAAAATGTTCTTCTGAAGATAAGCCACAGAGTGGATGAAGATCTCTGCAATGCCTCGAACCCATGAAGGGCCAATATCCAGAATATGTAAAGAACTCCTCTGAAAGAATAGCAAGAGATAAGAAAACTCAATTAAAAAAAAAAAGTAAAAATGTAAAACAAAACACTTGAATTGGTGCTTCTCAAGGATATGGCTAAATGGTTGACAAACACCTGCAACATTTTGAAAGATGCTCAGCCTCAATGAAAACAGAGGGAAACTGCAAGCTAAATCCAGAATGAGAGCTACCTCCCACCCCATCAGAATAGCTGACATACCAAAGAACACAGACAACTGCAGGGTTAACAGGTCCAAAAAGCAATATGAACTTTAATATCTTCAGACAAGAGTGTACATTTAAATATGTTCAAGACATATTTGCATTATCTACTAACTTTAAATAAATGTATACCAAAGAGCCAAGCAATTAAACTCTTTGAACATACAGAAATGCATGCTCAAAGGCACAGAGAGACTTATACAAAAATGTTCATAGTAGCATCATTCATAGTAGCCAAAGAAGAAACAATATATTTTGGTATAGTTATACAATGCAATGCTCTGTTCAACGAAGAGGAGTAACTGAATCAGTAATATGACTGGATATTATAAATACAACGCTGATTAAAATGCTAAGTAACAGAAGAGTGGTTATATTCACATAAAATTTAAGAGCCACAACTATCTTAAGGTATTATAAACTAGGGTGGTAGTTAAGTTGGAGAGAAGAGGGAGAAAGGCTTGGAAGGAGTCATGAGAAGGCCTGCTTGATGATTTATTCTGTAATAATCGATTCATGTCTTCGTTTATGCTTCAGGCCCTTTTATGTTGTGTATAATAACACACACACACACACACACACACAAACTAGACTGCTGGGCAGGAAAACTGGGTTCTGACACAAATTTGTCATGTAAATTTAGCCAAGTCATTTTTACTAACTGGGTTTTGGTTCGATCAGCTATAAAATGAAGGGTTTCAGCCAAAGGGACTTCCCGATCCCTTTGTATAGTTTTGTAGGGTTAGAATTCTAACATCAGCGTAGGGCAACGGACTGCGCAAATGTCTACTCGCTGCCTGGGACTCTGGCTTTCTGTTGTATGCTGAGTTCCAACCACTTGTGAACAGAGAAAGCCTCTACAGGTAAACTCACTGGAGAAAAACACAGCCTTCGTGACACTCACAACAGGGCACAGTCCAAATAACACCTTTGACTCAATTGTTTTCAAAGAATGATGTCCAGAACTCTAGAATGTATTCCTCCTAGCTCACTGTAATTTGATGCCCATTAACTTCAAGATAGCAAAAAGAGAGGGTTTTGAATGTCCCCAATACAAAGCAATGTTAACATTTGAGGTGATGAATATGGTCATTACCAGGATTTGGTTATTTTACATTGTATGTATATACTGCTAAATAACTATGTGTCAATTGAAAACAGCCATGCTCAGTTTTAACTCTGGGTCTTTGCCTGTGTTGTTTCCACACCGAGATTGATCCACCCTTCACCCAAACTCTATGTCCAACTGAACTGGGGCTCAAGAACTTCTCTGATGTAGACTGTGTGGGGTGTGAGGGGATACATGCCT